TACTTAGGATGCTCAATTTGAGATTACAAGGACCTGAAAATGAGGAATACAGAGTTAGTGACCCCTCTGTGAAATGTTCGGTTTATGTGACTTGCCCAGCATCACATGAGAACTCGGTGGCAGAAGTAGAGATCAAATCAAGTTATCCAGGGCAGCATTAAATTGCGTTATCCATGAGACCATCCTTTCCCTTCCTACAATCATCTGCCTCATTCACTACATATCTTAAAAGTTCTGTAACAAATGAAGCAGGGGTCCTATAGACAACAATCTCCTTTACTACAGAACCTGGATTCATTCCCCTGAGCAAGTCCTTCCTGTGCACTTAATGAGGCAGGGGTCTTGTGGAAAACAATAGCATCTGATCAAGTAATTAAAGATTATCCTGCATACAGGTAAAGGGGCACAAATTAAGGCTGCCTAGATAAAAATCTGGCCAGTGAATTATCTACCCACTGCTCTGTTTGGAAAAGGAGATTCTGGTATGCATTTCAGGTCACAGGAGTATCTTACATTCTACTTAGGGTTGCCAGTTTTGGTTGGATGTATTCCCGGAGGTTTCACCACATGGCAAAATCTTGAATTAAAGGTTAATCTTTAATTCCTGAGACTCCAGGACCATCCTAGTTGGCAACCCTAGTTCTACTTCAATACACCTTTGAACTATATTGCTTGTTTGCACTCACCTCTACACCATGTCACCCTCTACTGAGCACTTCCAAATAGACTGTGAACTGTAGTAAACAAATCCTGTTGTTTAGGAATAGTTCTTTGCCTAAATAAGGCCTGGAAGAGTTAACAGATCAGTAAGTCCCTTCATAGAATCATAGAATATCAGGGTTGGAAGGGACCCCAGAAGGTCATCTAGTCCAACCCCCTGCTCGAAGCAGGACCAATTCCCAGTTAAATCATCCCAGCCAGGGCTTTGTCAAGCCTGACCTTAAAAGCCTCTAAGGAAGGAGATTCTACCACCTCCCTAGGTAACGCATTCCAGTGTTTCACCACCCTCTTAGTGAAAAAGTTTTTCCTAATATCCCATCTAAACCTCCCCCACTGCAACTTGAGACCATTACTCCTCCTTCTGTCATCTGCTACCATTGAGAACAGTCTAGAGCCATCCTCTTTGGAACCCCCTTTCAGGTAGTTGAAAGCAGCTATCAAATCCCCCCTCATTCTTCTCTTCTGCAGGCTAAACAATCCCAGCTCCCTCAGCCTCTCCTCATAACTCATGTGTTCCAGACCCCTAATCATTTTTGTTGCCCTTCGCTGGACTCTCTCCAATTTATCCACATCCTTCTTGAAGTGTGGGGCCCAAAACTGGACACAGTACTCCAGATGAGGCCTCACCAATGTCGAATAGAGGGGAACGATCACGTCCCTCGATCTGCTCGCTATGCCCCTACTTATACATCCCAAAATGCCATTGGCCTTCTTGGCAACAAGGGCACACTGCTGACTCATATCCAGCTTCTCGTCCACTGTCACCCCTAGGTCCTTTTCCGCAGAACTGCTGCCTAGCCATTCGGTCCCTAGTCTGTAGCTGTGCATTGGGTTCTTCCGTCCTAAGTGCAGGACCCTGCACTTATCCTTCGTTTTCAGTTTAAACCAATTTTCTCCCATTTTCATTCTACTTTTGTATCATTCAAATATATAAAAATTATTTTGTTTTATTAGGAAAATACAATACGTTGCATGAGATCTATGTATTACGATAATACATTAGTCTGTATGTATATGCAAAGCTGACTGTTGAAGTAAGGCTACGTATTAGTCTGGAATATACGCGCAATAAACTAGCAGGCACAATGGCAAGCTCTGATGTGCATGCGCATCCGAACATACTGATGAATTTCATGCTCACCATGTACACATTTCAAGCTGTTAGCAGATAACTGTTTAAAGATCTGACACACTAAAATTGGAAGAAAACAAAAATATGTATCCGAATATGTTTCAGAACACAAGGAAGTATTCAAAAGTTAAGAAAAAAAAACAGGAGAAAAGGATGAAGTTGAGTGTATGCGCTGCAAACGGTGTGGTCCAATTATTAAATGTAAATATAGGCTAATAGTTCTAAGTCTACAACAATCAACTGTTTGTTCAAATGAAAAGTTTTACTTGGGGATTAGAGAGAGATTGTTTTATTAAACTCAGAGGTGGCATTGTGTTTTGAGTTCTGTTTTAATTTTGCAGCAAACCCCATTGAATTCCATTCATGAAAGCATTAATCTACTGAATACTTTTTCCTCCTGTCCTTCTGTCCACCAAAGTAAACCCTGATATTTACCCAGAAAAAATTAATGGTTTTTTCCACCGATTTTCACCTATTTTTGTTGTTTTAGTAATAAACACAGATAAAATTCCAGGAAAAATTAAATAAAATAAAAACTGAAAACAAAGGGCTCCACAAATCAGTTACTCATCTACACTCTCCGCAACTGGGGGTGGGTACGTTGGTGGTTTTCTGCCACGTTCCCTTCCTCTCTCCACTTTAGTTCTGGTAACAGCTGGGACCCATTTTGGCCCTGGTGCAAGTTAGAACAGCATCAGGACTGTTCAAACTTGTCCCCACTTCAGCAGGCTCTAGGAGCTATTCCATTGGCTCAGACTTGTCAGAGCACAGCATGCTTGAGAATTGCCAGAGCACAGCCTGCTAGGAATGGGTTGCGAAGCCATCTCTGAATCACCGATGCATTCTTGCCCACGCTTGGTGCTTTGACAATTCTCTGCCAATGGAAAGGGGATGGAGTGGGAAGCCAGGATCTGACCCAGAGTGTGTGTATATAACATAAATATAAAATCAATGTGATACCAGGAGTGTTGCTTCAATCTTTAATATTCTGGAGAAGCAAATATTTCCATAGTTGTTTGTATAAGCAAACATTTCATGTAATTCTTATTTGTATCATTACCATTGTGCAGAGGACCCCCTAGTCATGGACCAGAACCACATTGTGCTATGGGCTGTACAAATCATTTTAACAGTCACATACCAGAACTGAGTAGTCATGGTCTCTTCCCCCAACACCTAGTAGTCTGCGGTCTAAGCCTGCTAGCCAGAGTGGAAAGATGCTTATGGTACATCTCTGTACTATACTTTTCATCTAATATATCCCATTTCTCTTCTCCCTTCTGCCCTCCCCCCTTCACAAACCCACCCCGTAGGGTTAGGAAATATTAGTAGACCCCAAATAGCTAGAGTGTGACACTTACTAGCCACAGACATTATGAGAGAGGGGAGTAGGAGGCAATACTTCAGTGAGAAGTCAACATCTTCTGCAAACTGGTGAGAAAGGGGAGGGCACTGAGTTTTCTTCTAGCATGCTGTTTCTTCATTCTAATTTCTGCCCCAGGCTAATATGTGTCTGAATTTTGAAGCTCCTCTGAATCTCTCTGCAAGGTAGAAAAAGTATTTCCTCATTTCTGTTCCTTCCCTTCATGCTCCCATGCAGAGCCTTCAGGCTCTTACATGAATGACTGGGGAGGGGGATTGACTGGTGGTGGTGGTCTGTTTCTCTACCCTTCTATCTTCCATGTGTTAAACTGTGGGGAAGGTAGGTTTAGAGGTGGAACAACTGTGCCTAGTACTTGCAGACAGGCTGCTATGCAAGCATGAGCTCCCTGACTTATTGGAACAGTCCGTGAGGTAGATTTGTACCAAATCCAAAGAAAATCTTTTGCTGAACTCCACTGTCTTTATAAAACTGTGGAGAGCAGCACCATTTTACTCTGGGTTCTCTAAGGCAGTAGTGAGAGCGTGCGAGAGAACCAATATGGACACAAACTGAAATACAGAATAGTCATAAAGCAGGTTTGCAAGCCAGTTTGTACTGAATTGGGGATAGTGTGCACGAGAGATGCCTGCTGATCTGCCTGGCACAGCACCTTCTTTGGGAGTGAATGCCTGTATTGTGGGATTTTTTAATTAAACGGTCACAAAGAAACAGAATGGTCTCAGAAACAATAAAAGCTGTAATGCTGATTGCTTGCAGATGTGTAGTGAACTGGGGGCACAATAAATGAGAGATTACCTCCATATTTTCCTGGCATGCCACCTGCCTCTGTGAGTGTGAGAAATGTCTTACTGGATTGGAATGATTGCACTACAATAGAATTGTCGGGGGAAAAGCTGGAATGCTAGATTCCTTGCTGGCTGGCATTGAACTAGGCCTTCAGGCCCCTTAACATTGAGAACTCTGGAGAACCAACATACATTTTACTTTTGAAAGATAAAACACAAATCCCCCAAAGCATCACCATTTAAATATCCATTCAGTCATTACAGAACTTGTCATCACAGGTTTTGTATTTTGCGTTGCTGTTGGACCTCTGAGCAGTTATTGTTAATATGCTGCTCTGTAGTTTCTGTCTTGCTGAGTCCATGGTTTAACTAACAGTAGGTGGGACTCTTCCTTCTGACACTCTACTGCACCAATGCCCCAGCAGGGTGCTCAAGGGGCACCCTTTGAATAATTTAACAAACACATGTAACCCTTTTTTCAGTTCATGAATAATTCATGCACTTTGATTTTTCTGATTGTTTGCTTGAAGTTGTTCAGATGCTTTATGAAAACACATTTCAGCCAGTAGTTTGTTCACAAAATATCTGCTTCATCTAGGTCTTCACCTATTTATTGTTAGTGGTGTGTGAATAGCATCCTAAATTGCATGCTGCTGTTCCCTGATGTGATGACAAAGGACTGATCTAAATGAAAGAATTAGCGTTGGTTTGTTTAGCTAAATCAATTTTAAAGCAAATTAGTTAAACTAGTGCAAACTTCTAATGTTCGTGCAAAATGGCTTAGCTTGATTCCGGAAATACCAGTTTAACCAAAACTGATTTAAGTAAAGATGAACATTAAGCTATCAGTTTTATGGAGATTTGAAATTCAGCTACAATGAGAAAATCTTTGTGGACAGAAAGAAAGCTAAGATATTATCCAACTGCAAAGGAGATTCTGTTGCAGTGTGTTAATAAACTTTTCATAACTTTATTCTAGGCTGGTACAGAGGTTACACATTAAGAAAAAAATCTAAAAAGGTAAGTGTTCTAGTCCCATAGTTACAATTTCATTTTCTCTTGTAACAAATATTTGTAAAGATTCATTTGTGTATTAGAACTTTGTTAAAAAGTCAACTAAGAACTTTTATAAAACTTAAAATCTAGTTGATCTGTTACGCTAATGTTAGCTTCATGTTCTGTTAAATACAGAATTACTCATAAAATGCAATTGCATCTTGCAAAGTGATAGCATTGTGATTTTCAGCCTTTGTCTGAGAAAGATGGAGTAATCTTGCTTTCTGCAATGCAATTTTGTCGTCTTGTTGACTTGAATTGAGCATCAAATGTCTGTTGACAGCAGATATTCCAAAACAAAAAAGGGAACAGCTGAACTATTGCCTATAATGTTGCATTTAAAAAAAAAATCGGTGGGGGGTTATTTTATAATAGTACTTAACCAGAATTAAAGATTTATAGTCTTGATTTTTGCCTTTTTAAAATAAAAATGTTTAGAAATACATATTTGTATTCAGAAATGAACTTTGAGCTCCTTTCATTTGCATAGCCTTCTGCATGTCTAAAAGTAACCAAAGGAATTACATATTGAATTCTGTGGTAGGCCTCTCCGATTTCCTTAACTTTTGGTTTTCTATTCCTTTTTGTTGTTTTTCTTTTGGGGTATGTTAAATTCTTTTGAAGTAAAACTTCAAGAATGTGTCTCACTAAATTCTAAGTAGTGGGTATTTGTGTTGACTGAAATTAATTCTAGGTGCTGCTGTATTAATCTGACTGCCGCTAAATATAGCAAGTCCTAAAAAACTTCTTTTGTTTTGAAAGATCTTACTGGTTTGAGAGAGATTTCCTATATTGAAAATGGGGAATTCCTGTACAATCTTTTTATAATTGGGTGTAGGTGTGGGGGAGACTCACCTGTTCTAAATTAATGCTAGTGCATCTTGATGGATTGTATTTGTATTGCTCCCTATAGAAAAGCTCCTGAATGCTGACAGTGTTAATACCTGTGTATTCTTACTCTTTCTCATTCCATTTCCACCCCTCTGCTTTCTTAAGGATTGGAGCTAAGTAGAGAGAACTTCTTCCTTTTACAATACCCTGGTCTTTCTGCTTCCTTTCCTTTCTTGGCTTATGTCTAGATTTTGCAGCTGACCCTTTTCTTGCACATCCCATCCTTGACCTCCTGATACTGTCTCTTCTCTGACCAGTGTCTCTTGGTTGTTCCTCTGGCACTTGGCATTTTCTCCTGCTTTCTGAGTCTGTTCCTCAACTATGTTATTCACTCCTTTCCTCCCATCCCTCTTGTGTATCTAATGTGTTTTGTATTCAAAGGATTGGGATGGAGGTTAAAAAGAAAGTTAACCACTCAAGGGCTGTAACTTGGCTCCCTCAGTTAAATTAACTTATGTGGGGGTTATGTTAAAGTGGCACCAACCTATGAAAAGTTAATGTTAATGTGTGCATGAATACAGAATTTTACAGCTTTTGCACAAAATTAGGTTCAGTTGTGCTTCTCTACCTTTGAGAGCTAGTCTAGGTGACTGGAAAATTTGCTGAGGTAAAATAAAATCTATCCATCTTTATTAGTGTTGGTACTGAGTAAGATCTGAAACATAGCTTAGATGTTTGTGTGTTTATAATCTCAAAATGTCTAATTTTTGGGTGTGAGTGTCAAGGCAAGATACTTGACCACTAGTTTTAAAAGCTGAGGTATGGGAAAGGTATCATCTTATCCTGGTTTAGGGGCATTTGTTAACTTTCAAATTAGATTTTAAAAGTTATGCCCTAATTCTAGGCTCTATAATTGGGGAGGGAGGCAACAACTCACTTTTAAAGTGTATTCGTTTCAGGCAAGCAGCCAGCTTCCAGCAGAAATCTTTTAAGAAATCCCTCATTGAAATGTGTATGCCTTGCGATGGTAGAATAGGTTGGGGGTGTGTGTCTGTGTGTGTGTGTGTGCACGCGTGCGTGTATGTGTGTGTTACTGTGTGGCCAAGTCAGGTAACCAAAGGTGGTAGTTCCTATAACAGGGAGTCTGTTGCTGCAGACAGGGAAGACCAGGGTCAGGAGGACAGCAGGAGATACCTTTAGAGAGCAGGAGTAGAAACCTCTTCTGGGAGAGGCTTAAAAACAGGATAGGCAGCAGGGCCTGGGTTTGGGAAGGAACCATAAAGTCTGTGAGGGAAGAATTGAGTTGAACTGTTTTTGTTAATGAACCAGACCTAGAGAGGGGATGTGATTTAGCCCACGAGTCTACATGCATTCTTCTGGGGAACCTGAGGCAGTAAATGCATGAGCAGAGGGGGAAGTGCATCTCCTTACAGGCCACTGTACTTTAACTAAGGAGCTACCTCTGCTGTATAATGCAGTTTTATAAAGATAATATATAAAGTTAGGGACATAATAACAGTTTTAAAATACACATGCAAAATCAAATTCAGATCTGAGACATTCATAAAATAGCCTTTCTATTTAATGCTATTGAATAGAATATGAAAAATTCTGTGCAGAACAGAGTGTGGCTATTTGTTAGATAATGAATCTGAATGTATGTCTGGTTACCTATATATATAAAAAACCTAACTCTCTTTCCCCCCCCCAAAGGGCATATTTCCTGCTTCCTATATTCAGCTTAAAGAAGCAATAGTTGAAGGAAAAGGGTGAGTTGAGACTTGAAGTTTAACAAAAATAAAATACTTATTTGTGGAAATATAATTTCTGTGCTTTTATGACGAGGCTAATACCTCATTTTCTATTGGCTAATGAAAGGATGTGCTGAACACTTCAAAATTGATTCATAGATCTAAAGGCAAGAGGGAACCATTATGAGCAAATGTCTGACCTCCTGTGTACCACAGGCCATAGAATTTCATCCATTGATTACTGCATTGAGCATGATAGCTTTTAGTCTTGATTGAAACGCTCCAGATGATGGAGAGTTTATCACATTCCTTGACAAACTACTCCCCTGGTTAGTAATTACCCTGACTATTGAGCAGTTGAGTCGCATTTTCAGTTTCATTGTTTCTGACTTCAATTTCCTGCCATTGGATCTTATGCTTTGCTCTAGTAGGCTAAGGATGTCTCTAAGAGCAGATACATTCTCATTATGTTGGAACTTGTAGATGATGATGTTCAAGTCAGTTATTGACCTTTTCTTGAATAAGCTAAGTAAACTTAGCTCTTCGTGGTAAGGTATCTGTCGTTTGTTGTCTTGCTGAGAAGCATTTCTACAAAAGATTATCCCAGTGCCAAGTGTTGTTGTGTTATGTATATTCCACTGTCCTGAGTTTACTTGCCTGCAGACGTTTTGAGCTGTTATATAAAAGCAATTTATACTAATGAAACAGTGCTACATTGATGTGTATGAATTTGAACTCTGTTATCCATTTACTATACATGTGTATTAAAAGTCATAATACTGTTACAGAAGATCATTTTAAAAAGATATTTGTGAAACAAAAATAATGTTGAATGGAATTGACAAATGACTAGCCAGATATGAACGTTGGTGCAAAGAATTAAAATATTTCCTCCTTTTTGCCTGATCTTTTTTTAACCCTCTTAAATATGTAAATGCTAAAACTACTTACTAATCATATGATTACTGCATAATGGCATCTTCCTGGCTGATTACAAAACTGCCTCTATGTGCTGCACTTTTGACATGCTAAAAGAGCTAACTATTGTTCCATACTCAGGTGATGCACTATTTTAAAATAGTCATCTAGAGACACCAATGGTGAAGACCTACAAAACAGGTTTTTCCTGTGTAAAAACGGTATTTTGCTAAAGGATCAATCATAATGGCATGATGTCATACATGCCACATAACTGGCTTTCCCCCAATCGGTTCCTACAAAATTAGTACATTAGTACTTTACAAAAGAAGTAAATAGTGTGATACACATGAAATGTTAATATTTGTGGAAATAATACTTAACTCTCACATAGTGCTTTTCATCAGTAGATCAGTATTGTTATCCCCATTTTTTAGATGGGGAAACTGATGGACAGAAGTGAAATGAGATTTGTGCAAGGTCACACATCAGGCCAGTGGCAGAGTCAAGAATGGAACCCCAGTCTCCTGAATCCCAGTCCAGTGCTCTGTGCAATAGGCCACATTTCTTCTGGCATATAGATATACTATATAACTTGTAATATGTTTATATTTTCTTTTGAATCCTGTTGTTATGGAATTGGATTTGAAACTTAGCAATACCAATCGCTTCTACAAATTGAACTATATTAACCATTTTACTATTCTACCAAAAATTGTTTTTGCAAACTTTAGACAGCATGAAACAGTCATACCCAGTGAGCTCCCACTGATTCAGGAAGTTACCACAACACTACGAGAGTGGTCCATAATATGGCGGCAGCTATATGTGGTAAGTAAAGTGCGCTAATTTTTTTCCTCTGTTTACAGTATTCTGGGCTTTATGAGTTGGGTGGAAAGAAGGAGAAAAGACGACATATTTAAAAAATTAGGAATAGTAGAATGTAAGATATAGAGAGTCTATTTAACCAAGAAAAACAACAAGGAGTCCGGTGGCACCTTAAAGACTAACAGATTTATTTGGGCATAAGCTTTCGTGGGTAAAAAACCACTTCTTCAGATGCACTATTTAACCAAGGTCACTCTTTCCTTACTCTTACTCTCCCAAAGTAGCTCTGAAACTCATTTTGCAACGCTATTTTGGAGCTTCTGTGGCAAGGCAACCTGGCATACCTTTCCATACCGTGCCATGCTCTGAAAACTGTGGGTATGATATGCAGGATCAGGGACTTGGAGAGCAGGTCTTGGTATAGCAGTATCTTATGTTCTTACGAGACCATGGCATGTACTAAGAGCTGAGGAATGATGCAACATGATTTAGTAACATGCCTGCCTGTGATTTCAGTCACCGCACCAAGAGGTAGTGACGTGAGCATGTCACCCTGGAGGGCTGGCTTTTTATCTGTTGTAGATTTTTGTAGACCAGATCAGATTTTTTTTAAAGTCAAAGAAATTTTTGGGCCTACGAAACTTTTCATTGATATTCTGTGCCAATTAACATCAACTCATGTTTTATTATTATTTATTATTATTATTATGTACAGATGAGTAGTGTTTACTGACTAGATCTTCATCCAGATTAGGCTCTTATTTAAAGTTTGCAGATGAATCAGGGCTAGGGTTTGATTTAGGATTTGATCATACCAAAGTCTCCAAACTGCATCTCATGAGACTTCAAATGAAATTTCAGCTATGTCCAAAAAGGAATCAGAAAATAGTCTCCATTCTGGGTTGGGATCTGACTCGGACCCTGTAAAATAGGGACAGATTTGGAATCAGGGATTCAAATTTGAAATCTCTTTTTCCTAAATTTAAAAATGGTTTGGATTTGGGTTCCAGTTTTGGCCCAGATAGCTTTGGAACAGTGGGGGTAATATAATATGACATATTTTGAAACTTAACACCATAGCTACCTCATCCTGGACAGTATTACTATGACACTGGAATAATGGAAAGGAACTGTGCTGTTATCTATTGGTGCCGTAGTTAGATATCTCATAATGGATGTTTCAAGGCTAAATCATTGTTAAATTATTTGCAATCTTCAGACTGAAGGGACTATAGAACTATAAAGTAGTACAGGATCTAGCTGTTCCTTACATACATGTTGTGTGATCAAGTAATGAAAGATCCCTATTGCAATATTTATCTTTAAGGCAGAGAGATTCAAGGTTATGAGAAATTCAGAAAACTGAGATTAACTTTTGTGGGGGTTAAAATATCCTTAAAATTAATCAATATAGGCCTTTTTGGCATATAAAGTATTAATCGACAAATTACATTGCTTTGTTTGGTTAGCACAAATTTTAAATTCTCAGTCCAGATTATTTTCATATGCATAAATTCTGAGTGAAAAGTTAGTACTCATTAATTAAACCAATATGGTAATATCTGTCTGACACGTACAGAACTTCTTAAAATTCAACAGCTGTGTTCTATGCGTGTTTGTTTTTGATTACACAGAAGCATTTCACAAATGTACAGCAATAAGCATTAATTGTCTGTCAGATTAACTGAAAAACTACAAGCTTGGAAAAAGGAAAGGAATACTTGTGGCACCTTAGAGACTAACCAATTTATTTGAGCATAAGCTTTCGTGAGCTACAGCTCACTTCATCGGATGCATACTGTGGAAAATACAGAAGATGTTTTTATACGCACAAACCATGAAAAAATGGGTGTTTATCACAACAAAAGGTTTTCTCTCCCCCCACCCCACTCTCCTGCTGGTAATAGCTTCTGTAAAGTGATCACTCTCCTTACAATGTGTATGATAATCAAGGTGGGCCATTTCCAGCACAAATCCAGGTTTTCTCCCTCCCCCCCCCCCCCCCACAAACCCACTCTTCTGTTGGTAATAGCTTATCCAAAGCAATCGCTCTCCTTACAATGTGCACAATAACCAAGGTGGGCCACTTCCAGCACAAATCCAGGGTTTAACAAGAATGTCTGAGGAAGGGGGGGGGGGTAGGAAAAAACAAGGGGAAATAGGTTACCTTGCATAATGACTTAGCCACTCCCAGTCTCTATTCAAGCCTAAGTTAATTGTATCCAATTTGCAAATGAATTCCAATTCAGCAGTTTCTCGCTGGAGTCTGGTTTTGAAATTTTTCTGTTGTAGTATCGCAACTTTCATGTCTGTAATTGCGTGACCAGAGAGATTGAAGTGTTCTCCAACGGTTTATGAATGTTATAATTTTTGACATCTGATTTGTGTCCATTTATTCTTTTACGTAGAGACTGTCCAGTTTGACCAATGTACATGGCAGAGGGGCATTGCTGGCACATGATGGCATATATCACATTGGTAGATGTGCAGGTGAACGAGCCTCTGATAGTGTGGCTGATGTTATTAGGCCCTGTGATGGTGTCCCCTGAATAGATATGTGGGCACAGTTGGCAACGGGCTTTGTTGCAAGGATAGGTTCCTGGGTTAGTGGTTCTGTTGTGTGGTATGTGGTTGCTGGTGAGTATTTGCTTCAGGTTGGGGAGCTGTCTGTAGGCAAGGACTGGCCTGTCTCCCAAGATTTGTGAGAGTGTTGGGTCATCCTTCAGGATAGGTTGTAGATCCTTGATAATGCGTTGGAGGGGTTTTAGTTGGGGACTGAAGGTGATGGCTAGTGGCGTTCTGTTATTTTCTTTGTTGGGCCTGTCCTGTAGTAGTTGACTTCTGGGAAATCTTCTGGCTCTATCAATCTGTTTCTTCACTTCTGCAGGTGGGTATTGTAGTTGTAAGAAAGCTTGACAGAGATCTTGTAGGTGTTTGTCTCTATGTGAGGGGTTGGAGCAAATGCGGTTGTATCGCAGAGCTTGGCTGTAGATGATGGATCGTGTGATGTGGTCAGGGTGAAAGCTGGAGGCATGTAGGTAGGAAAAGAGGTCAGTAGGTTTCCGGTATAGGGTGGTGTTTATGTGACCATCGTTTATTAGCACTGTAGTGTCCAGGAAGTGGATCTCTTGTGTAGACTGGACCAGGCTGAGGTTGATGGTGGGATGGAAATTGTTGAAATCATGATGGAATTCCTCAAGGGCTTCTTTTCCATGGGTCCAGATGATGAAGATGTCATCAATATAGCGCAAGTAGAGTAGGGGCTTTAGGGGACGAGAGCTGAGGAAGCGTTGTTCTAAGTCAGTCATAAAAATGTTGGCATACTGTGGGGCCATGCGGGTACCCATAGCAGTGCCGCTGATCTGAAGGTATACATTGTCCCCAAATGTAAAATAGTTATGGGTAAGGACAAAGTCACAAAGTTCAGCCACCAGGTTAGCCGTGACATTATCGGGGATAGTGTTCTTGACGGCTTGTAGTCCATCTTTGTGTGGAATGTTGGTGTAGAGGGCTTCTACATCCATAGTGGCCAGGATGGTGTTATCAGGAAGATCACTGATGGATTGTAGTTTCCTCAGGAAGTCAGTGGTGTCTCGAAGGTAGCTTGGAGTTAGTTATGAATATTTTGTGATGATCTGGGCAGTTTCAGATAGTCTGTTTCTGTTTAAATACAGTGATTTTAAAAAATTATGGCTGAAATGCAAATAGTATTATTATAGTCTAATACCACATTAGAGGAGATGCAGCATCCCGGTGCTCTTAGTTTGACGAATGTAAGATTAGCAAACCCATCTTCTTTAAAGAAAATGGGAATTTCCACTTCAAAGTATGTTCTGTGCTATTTGATGCAAAATTTCTAGATGTCACGAACAGCTGTATGAAATGTATATTATGTGACTTCTTTTTTTATGGCAAAAGTAAAGTGAATATCCTCCAAAAATAAGAATTTGAGAACGTAACTTGGGAAAATTGAAGATAACAAGGAAATAAATTACTACTTGAGTGTGGTACTGAGCATGTCTCACATAAAGGGACACTTAAAAGAAGCTAGAAACTTTGACTGTTACAGGGTCTGATGCAAAATCCACTGAAGTCAATGGAAATGTTCTGACACACTTCTATGGGCTTTGGATGAGGCCCACAAAGGAGAAGGAAGGAGAGACAAAATGAATTATGTTGGAAGTGAATCAGAGGATGAGATGTAATATGGTACAGTTGAGGCGAGAGAGAGAATATCAGATGCAAATGAATATAAAGTAGAAATTTGACTACTAATTTAATTGACTACTAATTTAATACTAGAGCAGTAATGCTTTTCTGGTGCAAGAGAAGGATGTGTGGGGCAGGACCTGGAAGGGACAAAATATGAAAGGGGCAGAATTGGGAAGAATAACTAGGAAGAACAGAATGAGAAATGACTCTGGCTGTCGGGGAGAATGGTTTCTCTGGTTGCCTGCTGTGCACTATCCTCCTCATCTTCCTTGTCCCCCAAATCCTCATCCCTGTTGCATGAGACTCCTCGCTTGCAGGTGTCCATGGACAGGGGTGGAGTAGTGGTTGGGGCCCCCCCTAGAACTGTATGCAGCTCATCATAGAAGCTGCATGTCTGGGGCTCTGACCCGGAGTGGCCATTTGCCTCTTTGTTTTTTTGGTCGGCTTGCCTGAGCTCCTTAATTTTCATGCGGCACTGCTGTGGGTCCCTGTTGTAGCCTCTGTCCATCATGCCCTTGGAGATTTTTGCAAATATTTTGGCATTTCATCTTTTGGAACGGAGTTCTCATAGCACGGATTCGTCACCCCATACAGCGATCAGATCCAGTACCTCCCATTCAATCCATGCTGGAGCTCTTTTGCGATTCTGGGACTGCATGGTCACCTGTGCTGATGAGCTCGCCACGCTGTTCCAAACAGGAAATGAAATTCAAAAGTTCCCAGTGCTTTTCCTGTGTATCTGGCTAGTGCATCTGAGTTGAAAGTGCTGTCCAGAGCGGTCACAATGGAGCACTCTGGGATAGCTCCCGGTGGCCAGTACCGTTGAATTGCGTCCACACTAACCCAAATTCGACCTGGCGATGTCAATTTCTGCGGTGATCTTGTCGGGGAGGAGTACAGAAGTCGATTTTAAGAACCCTTTAAGTTGACAAAAATGGCTTCGTCATGTGGACGGGTGCAGGGTTAAATTGATCTAACGCTGCTAAATTAGACCTAAACTTGTAGTGTAGACCAGGGCTTAGTTATCCCTGCTAGTCCTTGTGGGACTGATAAATAGCATTGAGCCTGATCATGGCCTGCATGGGAGACCTCAGTGAAATATCATGACTGCAGGAAGATGTTGGCAATTCCCTTTTGGATCAGTACTGAATCGGTGGCCTAGCATGTACTGCATGACATTATGATGTTGGAAGTGCTATCTTTCTGATCAGATATAACTGAGGTTCTGACTAGGGTTGTCACCCCCTGAGGTACAAAAAAACCAAGACATCCAGGATGAGCCTGAGTGCAAAAAGCTAAAATTGGACAGCTGGCAGTGTGTACTAAACGCCCTTACAGATTTCCCAGGACAGCTGTATCAAAAAAGGACAATCCTGGGAAAACCTGGGCAGGTGGCGACCCTAGATCTGACTACTTCTCATTTCTTTAAATACATCACAGTCTCTTTTTTAAGAATAGGGAGATTAACCCTGGTTTGCTGGCAAATGCCAACTGAGGTAAGTAATCTGTCTGCTTAATAGCCATTGTAGTTTCTCTGCTGGATATAACTAGGGCCCTACCAATTTCACGGCCATGAAAAATGTGTCACGGACTGTGAAATCTTGTCGGTCGCCCACCCCCCCCACCCCCCCCAATAAAATCTGGTCTTTTGTGTGCTTTTACTCTATAGTATACAGATTTCACAGGGGAGACCAACGTTTCTCAAATTGGGGGTCCTGATGCAAAAAGGAGTTGCAGGGGGGTTGCAAGGTTATTTTAGGGGGGGTCGCGGTACTGCCACCCTTAGTTCTGTGCTGCCTTCAGAGGTGGGTGGCTGGAGAGCAGCAGCTGTTGGCCGGGCGCCCAGCTCTGAAGGCGGCGCCCAGCCAGCAGCAGCGCAGAAGTAAGGGTGACAATACCATACCATGCCACCCTTACTTCTGCGCTGCTGCCTTCAGAGCTGGGTGGCCGGAGAGCGGCAGCTGCTGACTGAGGGCCCAGCTCTGCAGGCAGCAGTGCAGAAGTAAGGGTGACAATACCGTACTGTGCCATCCTTACTTCTGCGCTGCTGCTGGTGGCGGCTCTGCCTTCAAAGCTGGGCTCCCGGTCAGCAGCCGCCGCTCTCCAGCTGCCAGCTCTGAAGGCAGCGCCACCGCCAGCAGCAGCGCAGAAGTAAGGGTAACAGTACTGCAACCCCCCACCCCCTTGGAAAAACCCTGCGACAGCCGCCCCCCCCAACTCCTTTTTGGGTCACGACCCCTACAATTGCAACACCATGAAATTTCAGATTTAAATAGATGACATCATGAAATTTATGATTTTTAAAATCCCGTGACTGTGGAAATTGACTGAAATGGGCCATAAATTTGGTAGGGCCCTAGATATAACATTCACTTGCTGCCCTAAACTGTTGTGTAGCATTGCTGTGCACTGTTAAGCAACCACTGCATCTCACTCCAGAGGTGGCCCTGTTTCATGGTTGCTAAAGTTTAATCCTGAGTGTATTTATAAAAATACTATCAGAGAAATTATTTCTTCCGTCTCAAATATGGAATTCCATCTCCCTGTCCCCTGCTTTCTACCTTATTTTCTCCTCCTCCAAAATATTCTACTGCTCTGATGTGCTAGAGAGCCTGTATTCAATTCTGAGCTAGACAGGTTAAGATCTGATCTCTTGCAACCCCAGAGCTCTGTAAACAGGTATTCAGTATCATCATAGATCCAGAAACACCTCTTCTTTTAAAGGCAGAACAAGTCCATCACCTCCACCCCAGTAAATTATACAGTATTACATTAGTCTTTAAAGCCAAGGTGTTCTTTCCCATATTATTCCTATAATGTTCCTGCTGTCTGTCTGTCCTTCTGAATTCTGTGTAATGCCTGGTCCGTGGAAAGATACCATATAAACAAAAAGGATGCCTTAATCCTGAATCATTCACTGTATTGAGTAAATCATGGTCAATGTTTTAAAGGGACTTAGGTTCCTAAATCAGTATTTAGGCACCTAAATAGGAGACAAGACTTTGAAAAGTGCTGAGAACCCAACAGTTGCCATTGAGAGGACAGCTACACGCTCAGCATTATTGGAAACCAGGCCTCTAATTTTGGAGCCTAGCTTTAGACACCTAATTTTGAATCTCATGGCCCATATTTTTAATATGTCATATAAAAACTCTAAAATGTGCTTAGTTATTTACCTTTTTAGAATAACATTTACAGTCTTGTTTATTTTATTTTCAAACAGCAAGATAACAGAGATATGTTCCACAGTGTACGACATATGATATATGATCTTATTGAATGGAGATCACAGATACTTTCTGGAACTCTACCCCAAGATGAGCTCAAGGAAATGAAAAAGAAAGTGACTGCCAAAATAGATTATGGAAACAGGTTTGTGATGACTACTTCATAGGGTGTGCTTCTTGAGAGAGTGGGGGGAATCAGCCTTGTTGTATTATATAGCAGTTCGAAGGCACCGGATATACATGAAGAAAGTATTTCTGTAAGGAGTAGTACTTGTAGTTTAAGTAGCAATCTTTTTAGAGTACGGTAAAGTGGGAAAAATTGCAATATAAAAGCATTTTTGATACAGTTCAAATTATAATTTGTGTACTAGACTCCTTCTGTTAAACTGTCACTCATAAACTTTGTGACACTATCAGTTTGATGTCAGATTAAAGCTATGATTTTTCTGAGGTCAGATGAAAGATATAAATTGTTCCTGTCTTTCAAAACCCTTTGCCAATTCACATAAACGGTAGCTTCCTCTCTAGCACCATCAGCTGTTTGCACTCTGAACTTGTTAATGCTCTCATGCAGTGCTAGAGGATTTGTCTGGGAAACGTGGGGTATCTCATTGTGCTGCTGCTTGTGTAGTATCTAGCTTGTATTAATGGTTATACTGTTGATTAGATTTCATAAGCATTTATATTCATCCAGAAGACGAGGATAAAAACCAGGAATGGCACCTAATCAACGACAAATGTTACAATGGGGCATGCATCAGATATGTCAGCAACTTAGATGAGGTGACTTTTGATTTAAGGCTAAGCCTTCTGAAAACTATTCGGATAGAGGAAATGTTGTGTTTGAAAATTGAACTGGTTAATGGTAGATTTAAATCATCCCATGGTAAGGAGGAATGCCGTACTATTCAGTTGTGACATTATTTTTTAATTGAAAGCGAGGAATCTTACCTTGCTTATACACAAAATTGGAACCTGGTCAACATAGCAGTCTGAATAACGAGAAGGTGGGGTAATATAAGGTTATTGAACTCCTGGGGATGGAAGATTGATCAGCCAAACTTTCTTTAAGTGCCACTGTAGTATGATTAGCTCATGAGGATTCATCAGTTTGTGCTTTGCTACTTAAATATTGCAGGTTTTTCAGTTCTTGTGCCCATGTACTTTATCAGCAAAATTAGTGATAAAAAAATCGCTAACTCCATTCAGTAAGTAATTTAGCATTTATAATCCAAGATATGGTCTGTTGTACCCCAGTAGACAGTTAACCAGATGTTGTTGATATTATTTGTTTGGCTACTGTATTTTACCATCTGGCTAAGGAGTTGGTTAAAGTTACTCTGAATAACGTCCAGATGCTCAGTGTTCAACACAATAGAACATCTTGTACTGTGTTTTTTATTCATAATGTTCTGATGGACTAATTAAGTGATTAAAACATTCCCTGTAGAATAGGGGAGAGAATTGAATTTGAACTTTTGAGTAAATATGCACATTTTAAAGGGTGCAGTATCTTTTTAGTACAGCCATATATCGTGTTTTGCGTAAAATGAAATAAAATGACAATTTTTAATATCCAGACATAAGAAATATTCATTATGCATTAAATATATACTGTCTGGATTTCATGTATGTGCTTGCTTTTCCCATTGTTTACTGAAAGTAATTGGTTTTTACATAAATAAAGGCAGGATACTAATTTTATTGTGCTGCAATAATCAAAAACGTAATCATTGTGGATTTATGGACTTTCGTTTTTTAAATGGGTAGATATGAGATTATGAGACTGGATCAGTTTATTGTGTGTCAATGACAGGTGTCTTTTTGGGGTTGAAAAGCTGATTGTAAACAAAATGAAACACTTGGGAACAACTCCTTAGTCATCAACATGTTTTTACAAATGTCACGTGTAAGTTAAAGAGAAATGAAAAGATAAAATCAACGTAGTTTCTGCTCCTGTTCATTTGACAATCTGCGCCAGTGGGTTTCCACTCTGTTGTTCATAGTTGCAAGGTGGAATGATCAGTCACTGAGTATTAGATTATTTCCCCCCCCGTGCCTGTCTACATTCTTCTAGACACAGGATGGCTCCTGTGCTTTTCTTAGCTCCAGGCAGATGCATTTGGCTTCTCACAGAGTGGACAACTGGCTGGATGGGTGTGCCAGATATCTCCAGTGGCAGGCTCCTGTAGCCACAGTTGTTGTAAATCCTCTCGTTCAGCTTCCCAACCTAGGCTAGGAGTGTCTCTGCCTTCTCACGACAGGCAGGAGAGGGTGTCATGTCCACACCTGTGGTAGCAGTGGCAGATGAGGATGCCGTGCCTGCTCTTTATCTCAGGCTTCAGTCGGAGAGTCCAGCTCCTCACCAGGTAGCCCTCCGTAGGAGCTGAAGCTAGTCAATGTATATTGCAAGGTTTCCTGAACTGTCCTCTGGCAATCCCACTCTCTCTTTAGCACTCATGTTCCACTCCAGAGCAAACAGTATTTCAAAGAACCCACTGTCACAGATCCAGTTGGGCACCTTCTTGCAGAGGGAATCCAAACCTCTGTGTCCCTGGATGGCTTAAGCCCCTCAAGGCTGAACGGAATCCGGCCACCCCTCTAATCTCTGGGTCCTTCGGCACATGCTCTGGGTGTAGACCTCCTGTCTGCACCTCATCCTGAGAGCTGGAAACTGCTGTCCAGCTGCCTAGCCCCTCTGGGCTCAATGCTGACCCTTCAGACTCCCTCATACTTAAACACATCTTCTCCCAGAACTGCACCCCAAAGGTGTGAACTTTCTGGTTTGCAGTAGAATTCTCTCCTGGGGCATGCAGTAGTTGTAAAGCATTTTAAACACAGGAGAGGTACAGATCTAACACATTTGCCCTTTTTGTCGTCTGCACAAACTTTCCCCCAGCACTGTGCTATTGTGCATGCTTCGAGGACAGATGCAGCCTTTGGTGCAGCTGTTCTTTGATCTGTACTAGATCGGTGATCCTGGCACCCACCCCCAGAAGTTTGTATGCTGCTTGGAACTCATCTACAGTGAAGGACCCATAGAGACAACTACTCTAACAAGGAGCGATTACTTACCTGTACAGTAACTGCAGTTCTTCGAGATTTTCTGTTCCTATTAATGCCCTACTACCTGCCCTTCTTCCCCTCTACTTTGAAGTCCTTGCCTTGGCTGATTGCCTAGTTGAGAAGGCACCGGAGCGGCGACTGGTCCACCCTAACCTATATGCCCTTGAATCAGAACATAAGAATGTATAAGGCACAGATGCAGATCTTGCAGACACTGCAACCAAAACTCTCGGGTCAAAAGCCTGAGGGTTTGCACACGTCTGAAGTGTAGCACACATAGGGCTAAAACATCTCAAAGAACTCCAGTTATTGTATGGGTAAGTAACCCCTCCTTCCCTTGGGAACCCTTCTGGGCTCAGGAAAGCAGGGAGGGCTTCCTGCATTATGCAGCCTCTGAATGCTAAGTTGCTGGAGACACAGCTGGAGACAAGAGACTCTGACCCATCAGCTCTTCACTATTGATAACTTTCAGCCCCTTCTGTCAGGTGACATCCAGCTCCGCCTTCCCAGTTGACCAGAAAAGCCTGCCAGGTGACTGTCCCCTGCTAAACCTGTTCTGCTGGTTGGGAGCCCATCTTTTGTAAAGAGCTGCTCTCCTTCACTGGAAGAGCAGTTAACTGTGAGAACTCTTTTGTTATTCTTTTGCCCCAAACCTTTGGAATTTTGGCCCTACATAGAGGCAAACGGACAGCAGAGAAGGGAAAAGGATGCACGTTCAAAATTGAGTTTGCAGCCTGGTAAAGACACAGAATTTGTAATCTAACTTTGTTCATGACTTCTACAGACAGATTCCCAAATCATTACATCCTCTGCCCCAGCTTTTCTGAGCAGCAGACCAATAAACTTTAGCACTCCAATCCTTTCTCCTAACGTAGGGACAGATGATCGTTCTGTACAAAGACCCTGGAACACCACAGCACTTGGCACTCCCTTCCTCCTTCAACTCAAGGCAAATCATTGAAGAGTTTCTTGCACTGAGACTGGAGGATGCTCAACTTCTTAACAGTCCCGTGTTTCCTCCTCTCATGGGAATGATACTCTCAGGCCATTAATTTAAGGTCCTCACATGGTAGTGTTTTATTTCAGGTAATCTGGAACATTATCTAGAGGGGATTTTCCCTGGGATCCTGTCCTTGGTGTGTCACGCTGTCAAAGACTCCATGGCTCCATATGCTCATGAGGCTTCTCCTTTACCTTTATGGGTGGCTCCTCCAGCTTCTGCACCCAGCTAGAAATGGTCCAGAGTCTTCCCTGCAGAAGAGAGGAAGGAGAAACTGCTACCTCCTGTCTATGTGCTTCCTGCTCAGAAGAGTCAGGCTTTGTATGACACATTTCCATGCTGGATTGGGATTCACCCAGTTGAGATTTCTTGGACTCTAAGTTTTAGCAAACTCCTGATGAAAGGACTGCCAAAACAAGAATTCACAGGAGAACAGGAAAGAGTAATTCCCTGAGGATATTTGGAAGATTAAGACCTTGGCCAAGATTGTTAGAGAGACTTGGAGCTATATAAACTGTATGTTCTTTATGCCTTGGTTTTATGACAAGTTCTGGAGCTGGCACGGTGGAAAACAGGTGATCCTCCCAAAAGATAGACTGTGTGTATGGGGAAAAAAAAATCTTTCTGAACAGGCTAACCCTTGAAACTTGAATCCTACTGACAGAAAATTGTACTCTTCCTGAAGGAATGATAAAGGTCTTAGTATCTCCTTTGCTGGGTCTCATAGCTTTTGCTTCTATAGATTTGTGGATTTCTAAAGGAACATGGAACTGCCTGCCAAGGAAGATTTTTAAAAAAGAAGCTAGAACTCATTTTTTTGACAGCCAATTTGTATGTGATACTACTTACTTTGTTGTCCAGAATGTCAAATGAGACAGATCAGAAAAAGAGATTTTTCTTTTCATATAAATCAGGTATCTGTGATTACATATTCAACATTCTGCAACTCTTGCAGGCCTTTTATGCGTAATGATAAGTAATCTGTAACTTTTTACATAGGATTCTCGATTTGGATCTGGTTGTAAGGGATGAAGATGGCAACATTTTAGATCCAGAACAAACCAGCACAATCAGCCTTTTCAGAGCTCATGAAATAGCTTCCAAGCAAGTTGAGGAAAGACTACTAGAAGAAAAGGTAAGATACACTATCCCCAACTGTTATCTTTTTAAATTAAGAATCATGTAAATTAATGTAAAAAATAATGATAAAATATAATTAAAGCAGGAATTTGGCTTAGTCTTCTGTTTTAGTCCATGAAGCATTCTCAAGATTAAAAGTATCAAAAATACATTGTGTAGCTCATCTTATTTGGGCTGCATAACTTACCCACCTTTTAAAAAATGATTCCTATACTTCAGAAGTGTCAATGTTGATATAATATTCTACCAATAAATTAATTAATTGATGGATTACTATGAGAGAGAACTACGAAGATGACGTGAGAGAGGAGATGCATATTTAATTAAATTGTATATATTAATGGTGGTTTTTCTTGAGGCTTAATTTGGGATACAGTGCTCTAGTTCAGATCAGTTAATATTTTCATTAGGATTGTATATGGCATCCGTATCCTGAGTTTAAAAATGCACTTGCTGAATCATCTGTGGCAAGTAAAAAGGTTCCCTGGTAAATGTGCGGGCAAAGCAAAAATTTTGCAGAATTTAAACTTCGCTTAAAAAATAAAATTCTCTCTCCTAAAGACCCATCCAAATGTGAACTTTGAAATCTGCTCTTCTTGAGCTTTATGTAGATGGCTTTATTGTCTCTGATGCTACTCACTGGTTTGCCAAGCAAGAGCAGAGCATAATTAACAAGGGTCTGGATAGGTTGTGGTGATGTTTACTGTCGTCGTCTTGTTGCTCTTGGGAAAGCTTGAAGCAGCAACAACAGAGGTAGGCCCCAAAGTCATCCATTGTGGAGAAAGACTAAAGAACTAGGGAAAGGGCAGAGTAGCGATCCTGTCTTCTCCCCCTTCTTTCCTTGCAGCCTGTAGGAGGCTAGGGAAAAAGTAGAAGAGTGGAGACAGAAGGAAAGCTCTTCTGTTCTAGCAGACAAATTTGAAGCTCAATCCTTTGCTCCATTCTGTCCATTCCCCCTTGGTAGCTAGAAACTATACAAAACAGAACTCCAAGGAGGATCCAGGTAGAGTAGCCTGCCAGAAATCTCAGCACCCTTCCCGTTCCCACTATAGAAAATGGCAAGGAGCTTCTTCCCCCTGGAGGGGACACACACTTCTTTTGCCCTAAATGTTTCAGGTAAACGTTTTGTAGTGGAAGGGTAAGATTTAAGGATATGATTTAAGGGCGTGATTCTAGTTGTTAGTGCTGTTTAAATTTGACTGTTTTGTCTCTCTTAAATTACAGTCTCAAAAGCAGAACATTGATATTAACAGACAAGCCAAATTTGCTGCCACACCTTCATTTGCTTTATTTGTAAATTTGAAAAATGTAGTCTGCAAAATAGGAGAAGATGCTGAAGTCCTGATGTCTCTGTACGACCCACTAGAATCAAAGTTTATCAGGTTAGTGTCGTCTGTCTGTTGCATTATGTATACCTGTTTATCTTGTGCCTCTCTGGATTTGGTCAAGGAGTCACAGCAGATTGGAGAGGGCTTTTGGAAGGTCAGTTTGCTGAGTAAACTGTAGCGGAAAGTTAGCTGGGAAGCCTGCATTATACAGCACTTCATCTGCTTTATTCAACACAGCAACAGATTAGTCTTCCTTGCTTCAGCACGTTAGAAATTTGTAGTGTTCCTTATCTCATTGTCTTTAGTTCCACCTATGTAGAGGTAAATGACACATGAACAAGGCTTGGCTCATTCACTGTTCAGCTGCCTTGGCAGTCATCAGAGAGAGTGAGTGTTCTGGATCCCCTGCTTCCTTACAGGGACTGCATTCTACTAGGCTGAAGAAGAATTGCTCTTCTATTCATATTACATGCACAAAGCACAATGATAGCTGCTCACCGAGTAAATGTTCCTGTGATTGTAATAAAAGAGAAGCACACCTGTTGTGATATCAGGTTTAAAGAGACAAAAGAGTATATTACTTTTTGACCCCTGTAAAACTTCATCATTAGTATCCATATGTGGCTATATGAATTATAAAATTACTTCTGTAGGCATCTTAAAGTTAATGTTGATACATTTTTGGTTTAGATTTTGAAGTGTGGTTCTACTCTAAAAAGTGACTTTAAAAATGCAATTATGTGGTACCATATTTGTGACTCACTAAACAGATTAGGTGTGGAAATCAGATGGTTGGTTTGTGTTTTTTTCAAATTGCCTGCCATGCAGACTCAAACTGAGAACTGAAAGTCAAGCTGGGTTCTTTTGGCTCATGCATCACCAATGACAGAACTCAGTTAATTGTCCTACTGTTTCATGAGCTGAGTAAGAATCCAGCTCATTGTCCCAGAGCTGCACTGTCACTCCTGTATTAACAGGTGTAAAACACTGAAACTAAACCCTCCCCCTCCCAAAATAATAAGAAAACCCAAAAATATAATTTAGTCTGTGAAATGGCAATGTTTACACACAAGGAACAAGCAATTGGGTAAGAAGGTGCTATTTAGTATAATCACTTTACTGAGCAGAACCTCGCTTATAGTGCTGAAAAATAGGTTGTTTAATGTGAACTTAACCAAATTTTGTAACATCTGAGCTCATATGTGTATCTAAATACATACATATATATATATATATTTTAAAAACCTTGTTCTTACAGTGAAAACTATCTAGTTCGATGGTCAAGTTCTGGGCTGCCTAAAGACATAGACAGATTACATAATCTTCGAGCTGTGTTCACTGTAAGTGTGCTTTTGTTTTTGCAGTGTTTAAAATGCTTTGTTTCCTATCTTGAAAAATGCTAAAGAGTTTTAACAGGTAGTAGACTACCTCTGCAGACTTGAATTTAGGTCTTGGAGAAACTTGTAAGTCACTCCTTGTTAATTACTCTAATGCAATTTCTGACAACTGTGGTTCATGTGGGTAAAGGCCAAGTTGAACCTCTGACAATTGTGAAAAAGATTTAAACTGTTCAAAAATAGTTGGACTCTTTGGCTTCTGTGTAAATTAATGGCTTAAGTATTGTTATGAAAATTCTATTGTCATGAGAATAACTTATTCTAATGCTAAAAGATGAAAAGACTAAATTCTGAACAACAACTTGTCTTTCTGCTGGCTATTAAAGTAGAACCTGAAATGAACAGGATTCTTATAATGTATGGAAATTAATATTTCTAGGACCTTGGCAGCAAAGACCTGAAAAGAGAGAAAATCAGTTTTGTCTGTCAGATTGTAAGAGTAGGCAGAATGGAACTAAGAGACAACAATACAAGAAAACTAACCTCTGGGCTAAGACGACCTTTTGGAGTAGCAGGTAATCTATTCTTCTTAGCTTTTACATAGTCAGAATTCACTGTAAATAAGAGCTGCTTTTAGTATTGAATAATTGTTCCATGTTTTTGTCAGCATTTTGGTAAGGGGGAAAAACAAGCTACTAAATCTTTTGTGTGTATCTTAGATACATATGTTACACTGGATGTAATTTCACTTAGGAAGGAAAAATCAAATGCACAACTACAAAATGGCGAATAACTGGCTAGGTGATAGTACTATGGAGGGTATGGTGGATCACAATTGAATATGAATCAATAATGTGATGCATTTTTTAAAAAAGGCTAATATCGTTCTGGGCAGTGATAAACAGGAGTGTTGTATGTAAGACACTGGTGAGGCCTCTGCTGGAGTACTGTGTCCAGTTCTGGGCGCCACATTTTAAGAGAGATGTGGACAAGATGGGAGAGTCCAGAGGAGAGCTACAAAAATAATTAAAGGTTTAGAAAATCTGGCCTATAAGAGAAGGGTTTAAAAATCTGGACGTGTTTAGTCTTGAGAAAAGAAGACTTGAGGGAAGACCTGATAAGTCAAATATGTTAACAGCTGTTAGAAAGCGGACAGTGATCAGTTGTTACCAATGTCTACTGAAGGTAGGACAACAAGTAATTTAATCTTGCAAGAGAGATTTAAGTTAGATATTAGAAAAAAATTTCTAATTATAAGAGTAGTTAAGTTCTGGAATAAGCTTCCAACGGAGGTTGTGGAATCCCTATCATTGGAGGTTTTTAAGAGTATGTTGGACAAACATCTGCCAGGGATGGTCTAGGTTTATTTGGTCCTGTTTCAGCATAGGGGGATGGACTTGATGATCTCTTGAGGTCCTTTTCAGCCCTACAGTTTTATGATTCTGTGTATAGCATCAGGTATTTTAAAACCTGAATGGAAATGTCCAAATGCACTGTAGCTTAGAGTTTAAATCAGATTAATTCTCTTCCTGTGGAATATACTACCTTTTAAAATGTTTGAAATGGCAGAGCATCAACTGGGCTAGAGATTATGAAGTCACTCAGGAATAAGTGATTTAGCTGGTTATGAACAAAAGGCAGATACTCAGAATTATTAAGGAGAAGGTGCAGAGAGATGAAAGGTCAAAGAAATCACATAATGAAATTGCTCAAATAAAGTGGAGAACACAAATAACTTAATTGTTGACTGCATAGTTACATGAATTCATCATATGCCCTGTTTCTGCTACCCTTTGTAATTACTTTCAGAAACAAACTACTTTGCCCTTAATAAAAACACAAGCAAAAGGAAGGCATTTTTTATTAACACACACAGTTGTGCGAGAACGATGTATGTTAAGATAATATTTTCCAAAATATAAGTAATAAGTAGGCTTCTAGCTCACATGGCGTACACAGTGAGAAGATTTAAGCATTGATTAGTTTAGGTTTTAATGGGCTCTTATTGACATTAAAACATGCACCAGGGAGGTCATTTAAAAAAAATTCTCAAGGCTTTTGACAACTAAGGGCTTGTCTACGTGGGGAAGTTAGTGTGCAATAAGCTCGGGTGTGAATGTAAAGCACACTGGCAACTCTGTGCCAACTCCCTGTGTGGACACTTTTTCTGTGCACTAAGAGTGCCTTTGTGTGCAATAGCTTAAGGCACCTTGGGGGTGTCTTAAGAGGGCCCTTGGGCTGTTTAGCTTAGTCCACAGAAAGTGTGTCCACGTGGGAAGCTAGTCCATAGTAGCAAGTGGGGTCCTCTTCCTTATATAGACGAGCCCCCAAAGTTCCTTACTATTCTCTACCTATTCCTTATAGTAAAGGGAATTCTGCACATGCTGAGGTAACCATATGTTGAAATTCAAATAAGCTCTACCTTTCCCTGTTGTACTCTTAAATACAGTACAGCAGTTTACAGCAAATTAAGAGAAATGTTCAGATATACAATATTTCATCATGTTCATTTAGACTAATATGGAATTCCCCCCCTTCTAATTAAAGTAAATTTATATCCCTTCAGTGGTCTAGCCACTACAGAGCAACATAATCACAAAAACTTGAGGAGGTATAAACTTCCCAGGAGGGCGTAATGGTAATAATGCACATAGAATCTGAAGACCATGACTGCTCTGTGTGTTCGTGTTCTTTTCAAGGGTGGTATTTCATGGCTGGTTGTGTCTGAATGGCTCTGTTCATCAGTATTATGCCAATGATCTCCTAGTTCCTATATAAATCAAACAATATCTTGATATAAAGGCCATGTAACTTTTGTTTGACACAACAAAGAAGAACGTTGGTGGGCTACTATCTTTCATTTTATAGTACTATTCAAGGAACATATGGCAGTGTTACTAGCCAACCTAATGTCATTTTCTGCAGATATAATTTGTAAAGCAGTGACATGATTTGTTGCTATATACCCACAAAATATTATATGAACACTGTCATAGAAGGATCCTGAGGTGAATTATTTCAAAGAAGGTTTATGACCACAAACTCACTCTCCTGCTGGTAATAGCCCATCCAAAGTGACCACTCTCTTTAAAATGTGTATGATAATCAAGGTGGGCCATTTCCAGCACAAATCCAGGTTTTCTCACCCCCCCACCCCCCTCCAAAAACCACACACACAAACTCTCTCTCCTGCTGGTAATAGCTTATCCAAAGTGACCACTCTCCTTACAATGCGCATGATAATCAAGGTGGGCCATTTCCAGCATAAATCCAAGTTTAACCAGAACGTTGGGGGGGGGGGGGGAGGTAAGAAAAAAACAAGGGGAAATAGGCTACCTTGCATAATGACTTAGCCACTCCCAGTCTCTGTTTAAGCCTAAATTAATAGTATCCAATTTGCAAATGAATTCCAATTCAGCAGTTTCTCGCTGGAGTCTGGATTTGAAGTTTTTGTTTGTTGTAAGATAGCGACCTTCATGTCTGTGATTGCTTGACCAGAGAGATTGTAGTGTTCTCTGACTGGTTTATGAATGTTATAATTGGTTGTTCATGTAAGCAGAAGTTTAAAATAATGTCACATGATGGTACATGTGACAAAACAAAAGCTTGTATCCACATCTACTAGTAGCTTCAGAGGATGCCATTTATTTCACTGATGTGAAAATTGAGTCTGTATTTGAAACATGAACCTATGCTGCAAAAGAACTATACTGGTTTTATGCCATTGTTAATTTCTTTCATTAGAGATGAAGTGACCGTAGTACATTGTTTGTTTGTCTCTCCCCTAGCCTGCCTTTGTTGATCAATTTATTGCAGTAGCTTTGTTTTTTATTTCAGTAATGGATGTAACTGACATAATTACTGGGAAAGTTGATGATGAGGACAAACAACACTTTATACCATTTCAGCCGTAAGTATATGGAATAATGTAAGCATTGTCAGAGGATTTAAGGCAGATTAAATGTAAAACTCTTTTCAATGTCAACTTTTGAAATTGATCTTACAGTCCACTAATGTTATGTAGATATTTTGAAGTGGGTAAATTTGCTACAGATTGGAATTTTAACACATGAGTCTTAAATGTATTTTTCCCCCCTTCTTAGTTCTTCACTTATTTATTTGGAATGTATAGTGGTGCCAAAAAAAAAAAAGTTCACCCATTTCTAAGTGCTTTCTTAGCTTCAACTTTAAACATGTCTTTTCCATTTTTGTGTGTGAAGGAGCCTGGAACTAACTAGATGGGCCCAGGATTTTTGAGATAGATGTTTTAAGCTTCTTTCCTTTATATGTTACTGGTTCCAGTCTAGTCAAGGTTGGTAATGACCAAAAGCTATTACTGTCTGATGGATGTTAAGTGTCCTGTATGAAATGAGTTGGTTGTATCACATGACTGTCCATGTCACTAAATCACCACCATAATTGGCAGATAATTAAAGATAGAGAAACCAAAGAATGAATGGGCATGGGAACTGAAATAACTCCTCATACGTATAACTAGTTTTCCAGTAAAATAAAAGGAACCACTATGCCATGTGAAACTTCATAGTGTTATTAGATATTTTTAAGATTAAAAGAAAGCACTGAAATGTACTGTCAAAGGTCAGACGTAGATTTTACTTTGGATTTCTTAATTTGTTTTTGTGGTTTGAGTAAGTCTGAATGTTTGTATTTGTGTGTATGTGGATAGGCTTTCTTCCTTTTTTAACGAAAAAATAGTAGAAGTGTGTGCTTTTTAGAAGTGTGTGCTTACTATTAACAAAGGAATTAAAATGTGTGGGGATTTTAAAGATTCCAACTTTAATATCATAAAATGAGGAAGGGGTAGTGGGGATAAAAAAAGTACATCCCCATTAAAATATGAATACTCAGCTTTACCATTGTTGAATGCAGTGTTTTTGTATTGTGTTGGTCCCAGGATATGAGAGACAGAAGGTGGGTGAGGTGATATCTTTTATTGGACCACCTTCAGTTGATGAGAGAGACAAGTTTTGTCCAATAAAATATATTCCCTCTCCCATCTTGTCTCAGCTTTACCATTGTAAGAAATGTAGACCACAATGCTGTTATATAACTGAGTTCCCTTTTGACTTAATCTACTCCTAGATTTCGTGAGTGTTTTTTTATAAATCTAGAGAGCAATAGACTGACATAATGTAATATCAAATAACTTCAGTATGGAAACTAGGTCTAATTAAAAAGTACAAGAGTTAGCAGGGATGTTTGGGGAGCTTAACAGAAAATTTGAGATTGCAGAATCTATAGAAAGAAATCAGGTGACTAGCACTATGTGCCGAATGGCTCTAGTCCTGGACACTTCATATTTGTATTTCATGATAACAGTGGAATTTGTGTATAAGACATAATAGTCTGTAGAACAGTAACACAGTTCTGTAGTTCAAGGAAAGTAGAAGCTTTTAAAGAAGAGTGTCCTTGTGAGATTTATTTATTGTATTTAAACAATGACAGTGTGGAAGTATGCACAGAAAATGAATCGTTGTGGATCAAAAAGTGGATGCTAATGGAATGTTTAGCTTTTTGCTCCATTAAAACTGATTTATAGTGTGTTTATATACAAACCAGCTTTTGAAAAGGGTGTGCAATATGTTTTTGTTGTGTTTTTTTCTTCAGTAAATTAAAATATTCTTCAAAGTATACACCAAGAATATGAGTAATGTGCAAACACACAAAGAATAGCTTTGTCGTTGTTTCCAATGTTGACTTAAACACTGTGTATAAGAGGCATATTTTCTTACTCATTTCATGCTGTGCTTCTGTTGTGCTACATGCAATTCTGTTTTCATATGTGTGTTTGTTTGTATTCATTCACTGGCCACCAACACAACAGCTGTCAGAAGCACTTGGCAAGACTGGTGTGGTACTTAAGTGACATTTGTAAATGTTGTATTTCATTTATAATTTTCACATTTTCTTTTCTTCACCTAGTATAACAAAATGATGGATTATCTGTTTTTCTTCCACTAAGCCATTTCAGTTAAATTTAGAAGTTTTCTCTTCTGTAAAATCCATCAAACCATATACACTACCTCTTAATATATTCAATTTGTAGAAGCTGTCCTGAAGGTTGCACAGAATTAACGTACTGTACATTTTTGCAAAATCATCCCAATTGGATTCCAGTATTTAACATGGGTCTCTCAGGAGATCAGTGTTCTTCTTTACTACTATACATGCTATTTATTGGAAGTGGGATTGGGACCTGACACATGCATGTTTCTGTTGGGAAGGGTAACATAGGATTGCTTGACTTCTCTTTAGCAGGTCAGCATTTTCCTGATTAATGATCTTCCTATGTCTTTCTTGTTACCTTTCCTGTCTTTTGTCTTGCGTTGACTAATAAATACTCTTCGTCACAACTATGATATGATCTTTTGTGTTCCCTTGTTACTGTGACTTCTGGTTTTCTGTGACCCTTTGTTTCCTGGTGTTGGTCGTCATGTGCATCCTCCAGGCTAGCATTGGATGACGCCATTCGACACAAGCAGCTGAACATATCATCCCGTTTTTCACCCAGGGTGGCAGGGGAGAATGATTTCCTTCAGACTGTTATAAACAAAGTGATTGCTGCTAAAGAAGTTAACCACAAGGGTCAGGGTAGGTACTGTTCTTTATGTAAACTGGAATACAAAATATATCCTTGCTTCACACCATCAGACTATTTTAATTTGGACTGGAGGATTCATTTTTTTGTTTGCTTGCTATTGTTTGGTACCAGAAAAGACACCTGTCCTGTTTTCCCCCTGCCCCTGCTTCTTCCTCCTTCCCTCCCTCCCTCCCTCCCTCCCTCTCTCTCTCTCCGTGCCCCCTTTCCCCCCGCTTCCGTTTTTGGGAGTATTGTTATCCTACAGATTGTCTTCTGTCCTTCTTATGCAGTGGTTGGCCACTTTTACATGCGTCTGTATTTCTGCCCTATCCACTCTTGTATGTTTGTGTATTGAAAGCAATGACTTCAAGAACTGGCTTTCATGCCTTTGAACCCTGGCACGCCCTGGGCCCATCAAAGGGATGGGGGGAGTGTTCCTCTCCCCCCATTTTTCTCATTTTTTCCTATTAGCAATTGTAGTCAAAGCAGTTGGTCTGCTGTCAATACGACAAGGCAGTTACTCTCCTCAGAACTGATACCAACTTGTGTTTTGAGTTTGTAAAGGAGGGCTGCAAAATAAACAACACTGTTAATTACTGTCTATAGGTTGAACAGATAATTCAGTGTATTCTCTACTGACATAAATATAAATATAAAAGATATATACTAGTTAAAAAAAAATTAAATGCATTCCAGCCCTATTGCTATATACTTGATTTGTTCTTTTTCTGGGTCTTGGATTAACTCATCATTGTGTAAATAAATGCAGAATCTCAGTTTACCAATTTTCTCTTGGCACTGTTTTTCTTCTATTTATAAAGTGTCTGAGCAAAGGGTTTAAAGAAAATACACTTCGATCACTCATATACTTTAAATATGAGAGAAGTGTGCATAACATAACTTTTTCTATACAATCGCAATATAAAGAGGAGAATGGGTTTTGTTTAAGAAGTTTTTCTGCTATTTTGAACTGCCACTCCAGCCAATATTTGTAGGGAGGTATATTATTACAAGTTACTAAATTGTAACTTTCTTAAATTTACTTTTGGATTCTTCATCTGTAAAAATAAAAAATTAGTGGATGGGAGAGTACTTGCTGCGAGTGCACAAGTTGCTGATTGTGTTCTTATCCTGTTACAAACATTATGCATTCGTTTTTTTTATAAAACTTGCTTAATAGATACACCGTTTTATTGTATTGCTTCTTTTTCTTTCACTTCTGTAGTTGCCTTTGTTATTATTTAACTCTTATACTTCATTGCAATGACCTCCATTAAGGAGTCTGTTTACCAAGTTATCGCTCATTGGTATCTGAGATTCCACAGTTCTCATCTGTGCCATAGCACAGGAAGTAATTGCATGGTGTCTGTTGGCAAATGCTGACGTTTTAAAGGCATCGTTGAAGTTTTCAGAACGGTACATACAGTACAAGTTATACTTTCCTAGGTTATCCCCATAGATGAAATGCAAAAATGACCTCACCGCACATGAAGCGGTGGGGCCATTTGTTCGGCTTGTTGGAGGAAGCATGTTGCTCCTTGCAGGGTTAGAGAACCAGAGATACTTGCTACACAGGCAGGCGGCTCCATGCCTGGTTAGTGTTGGGAACACTGATCCATCCTTCCCACCAGGTGACCAGTGTGTGTCTGGGGGAAGCTATTTATGCCCTCATGTACAATAAAAGCCTATTCAAAAACAAAAACCTCAACCAGGCTTAGCAGCACCCACCCTTCCTCTCATGGAAGTACTTGAAATACCAGGTTTTGTCATGATCTGCTGTGGGCATTAGGACAGTTACTCCTTTCTTGCGGGACTGGGAAGGAATATTTCCTGATGGCCAGATTGGCCAAGTCGAGGTGGGTTTTTTGCCTTCTCTACAGTGGGTTGGGAGCTGAGGGGGAAGGGGGAGGGGGTTAGGCTATGATGATGCAATTCATTGTTAGCTTGTGGCGGATGTCCAGTGCAGGCACTCCTTAGGGAGTGGATACAGTGATCAGATCAAATGGGAAAGTATTTAAAGGAGGTATCCTTTAAAGGAGTGGAAATGAGAGCTGTTCGGGTCTCCTGTGACTGTTACGACAGGGAGTCAACCCCCATCCCCCAGTAGTCACCCTTAACCCTCATTTGATGGAGGAAGAGGTGTGCTGAGGTCCCAGAAGCAGGTTGCCTGGTGACCAGGCTGGGTAAGGGGGTGGACTGACAGCAGCCCGACCTCACCCCTCCGAGGTATGTAAACGGTTATGGAATTACCTGTACTGTAAAATTTTACCTGCTGGGTACTTCCAGACTTTTAGGGCTAAAGTTGTAGCCTGATTAAAATGCATCCAGAGTCTCCTGTCCTCCTCCTGGCATAGCCAGATAATGTGCACTGGGGAAGAGTATCAGAGTTGGGGACATCTTCCTCAGTTACTTGATACTTTCTTCTCAGATCTTCCATTCTAACTAATGCTGCCCCTTGTACTTTTCCTATGAAAAGAATCAAACCCTTTACTGTCTCATTTGGAAGATTTATGAAAAATCAGAGGGCAGGCGTAAGTTGCAGACCGATGCTATTGATGGTTTAATAACCATTTTCTGAATTCAACTAGCTCTTCAGTTACTGAGGACAGCTTGGATACTCAGTGACACCTATTTTATCTTGTTCAGTGCAAAATTTATGTAAAAGGTGCTATAGCAGCTCCACAGTGCAAACTTCACTGCGCCCAATTAAGCACTGAAGATTCCAACATCTTCCTGCCTATCCATACTCATGTTGTATGGTACTGCAAAAACTGTTTCTACGCTGGACTTAAGTTTTGTTTTACTGAAGCCCTTCTTCAAATTCTGTTTTCTTAGATTTGAAAAAGATGATCCCATCCCACCCAATCAGCCATCATGCTTACCAAAATATATTCTCCTGTGTGAAAAGAGGAAATTCCTTCCTATCATTGCCATCTATTAACATGCAATAGACAACAAACTGCTAATGGATTGCATTATGCTCTCCAGAGAAAAAATAAACTAGGGCCCTAATTCTGGTACTGTGTGTGTCTGCATGTGTGAGAGTGTGCAGAGCTGCACCTACGTAGAACCCCATTGACTTTGTGTGTGGGCACAGGGGTCTGCCTGCCCTTGCGCACGCAGTTGTGGAATTGTGGAATCTGCTACAAGGCATTGTGTCGGCTACATGAGCCACATCCATTATGTCTCCAACACACACACACACACACGATTTCCAGCTTTTCTATCGGTTTGTATTGTTTGCCTTAAAATCTGTTCTAATCAGATGTACCCTGTGCATTCTAGCTGTAGTTCTGTTTCAAAGTTTTTCTTAAATAATTATTTCTAATCTAGTGTTGCAAAATGTAAATGCTTTGCGGGCAAGGCTTAGTAACTTTTATGTGCATTGTCTTTTGAAGTTGATAAGACTCTTTTTTTTTCTGTGTTTGTTTAAAAAAAATAGAAAATATGTCTAATAATTACATTTTATGCTTCAGGTTTATGGGTGACTTTGAAACTTCTTCCAGGAGATATTCATCAGATTAGGAAAGAGTTTCCTCACTTGGTGGATAGGTCCACAGCTGTGGCTCGGAAAATGGGGTTTCCTGAGATTATTATGCCTGGTAGGTGTCAATAGTTGCATTAGGATACTAAGAGCAAAATTGGACCTGCTGCTAAAGTTCATGCTTTTTAGGGGGCTTATTCCTTCACCCACTTACTTCCCTGGTCCTTCTCGCATGAGCAGAGAGCAACAATACCCGAAGTCCAAAGGTGCAAACAATTCGATGTTTATTGGGGTGAACTTCCAGCAAGCATGATTCCAGTTTCTTCCTTAGTGTCCCCCTTCCCAGCTCTGACACCACAGAGCCTTACACCTGTGTCCCTGTTCCCATTCCTGCCCTTAGCCAAACATGATTCCAATTTCCTTACCCCTATTCCCTGTTCCCATTTCCCCTCCCCACACCCACCCACACACCCACTCACTTCCTGATTGACTGCAGACTATATAGTAAAACTTGAGTTCTGCTTAGCTATACCTTAACCAATCATTTTCCTGAAATTTAACTAACCCATCCTAACATATTGTAACATGATTATGTAACCAATTATATCCCACCACCTTAATTAGTTTACACCCAGCAAAATTAATTATACAGCAGACAGGAACAATCACAGAACCAGACAGAGATTATACAGACAAACAACAGCAAAGTGGGAACTATAATGACAAAACAATACAGAAGTGAGGATTTCACATCCCAGCTATTGATAAGTGAGTTCTTGCCAGACAGGATACTATCAAACTAAGTTTTCTTTTACATATTCTAGGCACTTCCCTGTCTCTGGAGGTGATAGGCACTATCAGCACAGGATTGTATTCCTAATGGCCCAATCGCACCTTATTTCAGTGTGACTAGTTTGGAATGTGAGGATGTGACCGTTCACTTCCCAGCTTATGGCTGCCTCTGCTGCTTAGTCAAAGGCCTTAGCCTAAGAACAGGGCCTCAGACTGTCACAGTAAGAGTAGGACCTTACACTGGCAGACAGTGATTTTGATTTTTTCTTTTATACCTCTAACTAGCCAAGTGATAAGAATACACCTAAATTCATAAAGTACAGGCCTTTGCAGACAGGCCTGAATATCTATATCCTAACAGGTTTCAGAGTAACAGCCGTGTTAGTCTGTCTTCGCAAAAAGAAAAGGAGTACTTGTGGCACCTTAGAGACTAACCAATTTATTTGAGCATGAGCTTTCGTGAGCTACAGCTCACTTCATCGGATGCATACCGTGGAAACTGCAGAAGACATTATATACACACAGAGACCATGAAACAATACCTCCTCCCACCCCACTGTCCTGCTGGTAATAGCTTATCTAAAGTGATCATCAAGTTGGGCCATTTCCAGCACAAATCCAGGTTTTCTCACCCCCCCACCCCCATACACACACACACTCACTCTCCTGCTGGTAATAGCTTATCTAAAGTGATCATCAAGTTGGGCCATTTCCAGCACAAATCCAGGTTTTCTCACCCTCTGCCCCCCCCCCCCCCCCACAAACTCACTCTCCTGCTGGTAATAGCCCATCCAAAGTGACCACTCTCTTCACAATGTGTATGATAATCAAGGTGGGCCATTTCCTGCACAAATCCAGGTTCTCTCACCCCCTCACCCCCCTCCAAAAACCACACACACAAACTCACTCTCCTGCTGGTAATAGCCCATCCAAAGTGACCACTCTCTTCACAATGTGTATGATAATCAAGGTGGGCCATTTCCTGCACAAATCCAGGTTCTCTCACCCCCTCACCCCCCTCCAAAAACCACACACACAAACTCACTCTTCTGCTGGTAATAGCTTATCCAAAGTGACCACTCTCCCTACAATGTGCATGATAATCAAGGTGGGCCATTTCCAGCACAAATCCAGGTTTTCTCACCCCCATACACACACAAGCTCACTCTCCTGCTGGTAATAGCTCATCCAAAGTGACCACTCTCCCTACAATGTGCATGGTAATCAAGGTGGGCCATGTCTAGCACAAATCCAGGCTTTCTCACCCCCCCTGGAAACACACACACACAAACTCACTGTCCTGCTGGCAATAGCTCATCCAAACTGACCACTCTCCAAGTTTAAATCCAAGTTTAACCAGAACGTCTGGGGGGGTGGGGTAGGAAAAAACAAGGGGAAATAGGCTACCTTGCATAATGACTTAGCCACTCCCAGTCTCTATTTAAGCCTAAATTAATAGTATCCAATTTGCAAATGAATTCCAATTCAGCAGTTTCTCGCTGGAGTCTGGATTTGAAGTTTTTTTGTTGTAAGATAGCGACCTTCATGTCTGTGATTGCGTGACCAGAGAGATTGAAGTGTTCTCCGACTGGTTTATGAATGTTATAATTCTTGACATCTGATTTGTGTCCATTTATTCTTTTACGTAGAGACTGTCCAGTTTGACCAATGTACATGGCAGAGGGGCATTGCTGGCACATGATGGCATATATCACATTGGTGGATGTGCAGGTGAACGAGCCTCTGATAGTGTGGCTGATGTTATTAGGCCCTGTGATGGTGTCCCCTGAATAGATATGTGGGCACAGTTGGCAACGGGCTTCGTTGCAAGGATAGGTTCCTGGGTTAGTGGTTCTGTTGTGTGGTATGTGGTTGTTGGTGAGTATTTGCTTCAGGTTGCGGGGCTGTCTGTAGGCAAGGACTGGCCTGTTTCCCAAGATTTGTGAGAGTGTTGGGTCATCCTTCAGGATAGGTTGTAGATCCTTAATAATGCGTTGGAGGGGTTTTAGTTGGGGGCTGAAGGTGACGGCTAGTGGCGTTCTGTTATTTTCTTTGTTGGGCCTGTCCTGTAGTAGGTGACTTCTGGGAACTCTTCTGGCTCTATCAATCTGTTTCTTCACTTCTGCAGGTGGGTATTGTAGTTGTAAGAAAGCTTGACAGAGATCTTGTAGGTGTTTGTCTCTGTGTGAGGGGTTGGAGCAAATGCGGTTGTATCGCAGAGCTTGGCTGTAGATGATGGATCGTGTGGTGTGGTCAGGGTGAAAGCTGGAGGCATGTAGGTAGGAAAAGCGGTCAGTAGGTTTCTGGTATAGGGTGGTGTTTATGTGACCATCATTTATTAGCACTGTAGTGTCCAGGAAGTGGATCTCTTGTGTGGACTGGACCAGGCTGAGGTTGATGGTGGGATGGAAATTGTTGAAATCATGATGGAATTCCTCAAGGGCTTCTTTTCCATGGGTCCAGATGATGAAGATGTCATCAATATAGCGCAAGTAGAGTAGGGGCTTTAGGGGACGAGAGCTGAGGAAGCATTGTTCTAAATCAGCCATAAAAACGTTGGCATACTGTGGGGCCATGCGGGTACCCATAGCAGTGCCGCTGATCTGAAGGTATACATTGTCCCCAAATGTAAAATAGTTATGGGTAAGGACAAAGTCACAAAGTTCAGCCACCAGGTTAGCCGTGACATTATCGGGGATAGTGTTCTTGACGGCTTGTAGTCCATCTTTGTGTGGAATGTTGGTGTAGAGGGCTTCTACATCCATAGTGGCCAGGATGGTGTTATCAGGAAGATCACTGATGGATTGTAGTTTCCTCAGGAAGTCAGTGGTGTCTCAAAGGTAGCTGGGAGTGCTGGTAGCGTATCCTAACAATTACCACAGATAATACAATATAACTATCTGAATCAAATCCAGAAAATAACTAATATTTTGGTACATAATTATTTTTTTCAGTTTATATTAAGTGCCTCAAAAAATTATATTGATAATTTAGTTGCAAAGTGAGAGACATTATGGAGTAGCTGTACTCAGACAGTAGAGCATCTAGTTTTAGTTTCAAGTCACATACAACTGAGTGGTGTTGACTTCTGTGTTACCACTGAATCTGTGAAGCAATTTATACAGTTTCAAAAGGGGCAGCTTAATCTACATGTACAAATGGACTACATGTTTAGTTCATGTGCTTGAATGCAATAATGGGTAATTGTATTCACACGGTTCGGGTGACTGTTATATGTACCAAATATTTGCTTTATTTCTTAAGTCACCTGTTAAATGTGTCTGTATATCTGGAAGTTTTGAAATATGATTTTAAAAAAAAGACCAATTTGAGGAAAAAACATTACTTGATTGTTTTGTTTTATAAAAGATGCCCTCCTCTTCATGTGTCTTGGGGCATGTTTAGAAAATTTTGAAAACAGACATTTGCTGCTTGTTTATGAAGGAAAAAGAACACTCCCTAAAATAAGAGGACTGTCGCTGCCCTTTCTTAAGCAAATGACCGAGGAAAAGATTTAGCTTGTACTGTTCCGCCTAAGATCCACAGGCTCTATGTTCTGCTGGACATCTTGAATGAGAATTTCAGAGTTCAGCGCCCTCCACTGAGTCATTGGCTGTCAGTAGCTTCCAGATGTTTGCACATAAGGTGTATATAGCTTAAGTGCCTCAGTCGACCACACCTATTGTGATCATGAGACAGAGACCCTGAGTCTCAGGCAGTCAGCCAGAGTTACCTGTCTCTATGCATGTGTGTTTCCCTTGTTTCATTTTCATGATACCTTTTAAATAGGAATATTTGTAAGACAGTGTACTGTATATAAGGCATCAAATTAAACACACTTTCATCCGTGGAAAATTTAAATTAAAAAACTTTACGTCACCTGCAGTTCTACCTTTCTAGACCACACAAACTGAATTAAAATTAGGTTTGGAAAAGGGAAAACCAAGGAAATAAAAGCATGTTGAAACATTTCACGTTATGGTAATATGTCATCTTAAATAACTACAGTTATTGGATTTATTTTCTGTTCTGTTTAGTTTCTTGCACCACTCTCACCTCCACTACTGTGGTAGATTGGGGTTTTAAAAAATCTTGCTCACAAAGATTTGGGGGTATGTTTTCTCAGGGTATGTCTTCACTACCCGCCGGATTGGCGGGCAGCAATTGATGCAGCGGGGATTGATTTGTCGCGTCTAGTCTAGACGCGATAAATCGATCCCCGAGTGCTCTCCCATCGACTCCTGTACTCCAGCGCCATGAGAGGCACAGGCAGAGTCGACTGGGGAGTGGCAACAGTCGACTCACTGTGGCGGAGACACCACAGTAAGTCGATTTAAGTACATCTACTTCAGCTACGTTATTTATGTACCTGAAGTTGCGTAACTTAGATCGATTTCCTTCCCCTTCTTCTGCCCTCCCCTCTGGCCCCCCCCAGTGTAGACCAGGGCTTAGCCTCAACCCAGACATGTTCTGTTAACAATACCACTGGTCATGCTTTGTTAATACAGTGCCTTCAGTATGAGTTGTAGGTGAACATATTGTTGTAAGACACTAGTCAGTGGTACTTCTCAATACTGTGTGTTTAAAATTTAAGGATGTAGATTATTTTGCCTAACAAGTGTTCCTTTAAAGTCTTTTATTATGGTTTTATACTTCACTGTTTTATGCAGAACTGCACACTGTGAAAATTACTATGAACATTGTGAGTGTAATGTTTTTTTTTTTGTCCTACCAGGTGATGTTCGCAATGATATCTATGTAACATTAGTTCAAGGAGATTTTGACAAAGGCAGCAAAACAACAGCAAAGAATGTAGAAGTTACAATATCTGTTTATGACGAAGATGGCAAAAGATTGGAGGTATTTCTTTTGGAAAATGTAATCTCTGAAATTATTTGCCCAAATTTTTCCATCATCATCTTTGTTATTTGTAAAAATTTGAGGGCACTTTTTTTTTTTTTTTAAAGAATGCCTTGCCCAAGTTCTCACACCAAAGGATAAAGACTTAGTTTGTCATTTGTGACAAGCAAATAAATATTGTGGTATCATTGCATACAATTTGGTTGAAATTAACTAGGGATAAACTTAGAGCATAAGACCTCTGTTATTCTAACCTACCTACTGGATCCTCTCTTTCACTATTGAATGACAGTGCTGGTTAGTTTGTTCTCTGTTAGATGGGTATGTATGTGTGGGTAAATGTTTTTATTCCTTGTCTTTCAAGAGTGTGATTTTTCCTGGGGCTGGTGATGACGCTATCTCGGAATATAAATCAGTGATCTATTACCAAGTGAAACAGCCTCGCTGGTTTGAAACTGTCAAGGTACAGATGATGATAAAATAATTTTCCTCATAATAGGTTAATTTAAAATAAAATGAGAATAGTTTTTAATAAGAAATCTTTAAGAACAAAATTGAAGGGAATTAATGTGGTCAATTGTAGGAAGGGTAAAAGGATCAGCTAAGCAAAAGCCTTTCAAGGTTGCTAAGGAACATTGGCATTGAATAGAATGTAAATTACTCTTCCATCTTTGTGGTCAAAATAGATTTTTCACAGGGATATTCCACCATCTATTTAGGATAACTTTCTTTTGTAAACAACAGTACAAAGAAATCATGGTAAACATATATTATAGTGACTTACTCATGAGTAAGTATATTGGGATGCTGAGTTTACTGATGCATTATGCTAATGATGCTAAATTAGCACCATAGTAACAACTCCCCAAGCTAGGTACCAAAGATTTAATATTAAAAATGAGGCTAGGGGTAGCCTTCTGAAAGACACACATTGGCTGTTATTGCTGGAAAGAATTTAATTGAAAGGAGAGTTGGCTAGTATTTTTTCATTCTCGATATTCTTTCCAAAAAAGAAGGCTTTCTCATTGCAGTTGCAGCCAGGAGTTAGCTGCTGTGGGAATTAAGTGCATCTACAGTGCAACCCCTCCCCACCCACTGCTTGTTTTTTTTTGTTTTTGTTTTTTTTTTTGTATAGACATACCCACAGAAAATGGTTGTGGTGAGGCAGAATGAATTGCAGACATGTAGATCAGCAGCATGCAGTCCAAATTTCAATATGCTGAAGAAAATAGGACTACTCTAATTGAATACCGAGGGGAGAAATATATAGACTTGTGATTTTGTTTAAAAATTTATTTATTTATTTAATGCATCACCCTAGGTGTGTGTGGCCTTTTACAGGGGAAAAAAGTGAATGGATGGGGTAAGGGAATGTAAGACAGTCATAAGATCATATTGTTGGTTAGGTTTGTGTATCTTGGTGTGACTTACTTGAACAGTTTTTAAGCTGAAGTTTTTAATGATATAACTTTGTGTCTGTACAAATGAGGTGGTTGAGGGTATGTTATTAATAATAATAATAATTATAAACAGGTTAGGGTACACTGGATATTTAGATAGTGGAGAGAAGACGACATTGTGAGAGTGAAGGTGGGGGCGGGGTGAGGTCAAGAAAAGGGCTACCAGTACAGGTGGTACGGTGAGACCTAGTCAGTTAAACTGAATTGACAGTAGTGACAGTTGTTGACAACAGCAGTAGCAACCACCTGGATCAGAGAGAGAGACTGGTCTAGAAAGTTATGTAGTTATAGTGTAAATGTCAGGGGTCTTATTAGTTGAGGTGAGAGGAACTGACAACATCTGAGAGGTAAAGAATACAATGTCTGTTGATGATGATGTGAATATGTCCATAGAACTGAAGGGCTCTACGTAAGCTCTGTGTAAAGGCTCTGCCCTGAAGAGCAGTGTAGAAGAGGCTGCTTCAGATATTGGTGGGGGATGAGGGCTGCTGGGTTTTGGGGTCCCTGGTGTAGCTTGCCTGCTAGTCCCATAAGGTCATGTGATGGGGAATTTAGTAGGCTTGGCTCTCTCCCAATCTGCTAATGGCTGAGGGAGTGGAGATTTCTTCCAAGGGAGCTAGGGCCTTTAAAGGTCTTTCATGCGAAAGTCATGCTGGTCTTTAAATACCTCGTTTGGAAAGAGCCAAGCAAATTATAAGAAATGCAAGAAAGCTAAAATGCAGAAAATACATTTGAAGAACCTCTGTGAAAGTCTGGTATTGGTAAAAACTATCTGAAGTCATGGGTCTTATTTCTCTCTCCTGTCTTAATTTGTGAAGGTGGCAATTCCTATTGAAGATGTGAACCGCAGTCATTTAAGGTTTACATTCCGTCACAGATCATCACAGGACTGTGAGTACTTCAGTTTTTCCCCTGGTGCGCCTGTCAATTCCTGGTGCCTGCATCTGCTGTAATGGAGAGATTGTTTCTGGCTTTTCGTGTGGGGATGAGGTGCTTCTACTACTACTACTATTTATTTATTATCCTAGCACCTAGGAGCTCCATTGTACTAGGTGCTGTACAATTGTCCTTTTTTCTCTGTTTCCTCTCCCTCTCCTGATAGCCCTCATGCCTTCTTTCCTATATACTTTCTGCCCAAGTCACCAAATGAGAGACCCAGTAAATAAATCAAGTGCCAGCTTTGCCTTAAGCAAGAGGACCATGGGTGGGTGGGTAGGTAGGTAAGTAGTAGGTGAGGATCCTCCTGTTTCAGATGGGGAAAATGGAGACAGCGAATTTGACTTGGTTGGGAGACACTGTGGTCTTGTGTACGTAAGGCAGTTTAGACCTGCGTTCTAATCCTGGTTCTGATACGGACCTGCTGTTTGTTTTCAAATTATGGTTTGGATATGCAAGCTATTTGCCTTCCTGTAGCTCCCACTGATTTTCCTTTAAAATCATTAGCAGTTTAGCCATACTCTGAGCCCTCCAGAATGATGCCTTGTGACTAAGCATTTTCCATATGTTAGCAATTGCTGTTCTAGTAATAGAAGGAGGATTTACTTTGACTGTGATAGTATTCATTTGATATAGGTATTATATATGATTGTCTTGGATAATATGTCACACTCCATGCAGCATACCTCCCGGGGGTGCAGAACTCCCTGGCAGACGTGCTTAGCTGGACCTGGTACCTCAATCACGAGTGGGAGTTCCACAACCCCACTTTCTGTTTCATCTTCCAGGCTTGGGGCACCCCTCGCTGGGACCTTTTTCACCCCTTGTGAAAACTGCAAGTTACTCCTTTACTGCTCAAAGGGTGCCAGGGGCTACGATTCCCAGGGCGATGCTTGTCTCCTTCTGTGTCAAAGTGCTCTCTGATATGAATTTCCTTCCATTCCCCTTCTCCTCCAAATTCTGTGTAAGATCTGTTGCGACCGAGCCAGGGTCCTCCTAGTATCTACTCAGACTCTCAGCCTGCCCCTGCAATCTGTCTCCCTGATCTGCCAGACATTCTTACCTAGGACCAGGGCAGAGTCCAACATCGCAGCCCATCCCCGCTTTGACTGACAGCCTGGTTTTTGGATGGGGATCGCATGTAGACAATGCCTGCTTGGCACATACTTAAGCACATACTTATGCACAGCAGACGATATTCCACACGGGCTTGCTACACAGTAAAGTGGAAGTGTTTCACATCTTGAGTGCAATGCCACTGTCTCCCCCTCAAAGATGTCTCTGTCCCCCTTATCCTGGACTACCTCTTAAAACTTAAGACCTCAGGCTTCGGCCTTAGCTCTGTCTGGGACCACCTGGCAGCTCTTAGTGCTTTCCTCTCACCGGTGGAAAGCTACTTGGTGTTGACTCACCTTATCATTGCCTGATCTCATGAAGGGCTGACTAACAGCTTTCTACGGGTCCTTAAACCTACCCCTCCCTGGGACCTCCATCTTGTACTCTCTGCCTTCACCAGACCTCCCTTCGTGCCCCTGGCCATGTGCTCCCCCTCACACTTACCCATGAAGGTCATCTTCCTCGTGGCCATCACTTCCGCTTAGTGGGTCAGAGACTTGGCGGCCATGATGGCTGACATCTCCCCATCCCCGCCCCCATATATGGTCTTTCGTAAGGACAAAATCTCATTACACCTTCACCCTAAGTTTTTCTTGAAAGTCGTCTCTGAGTTCTGCCTCAGCCAGTCTATCCATCTTCCGGTCTTCCATCCTAAACTGCATGCCACTCCCGCTCACAGGACTCTGCGCTCCTTGATCATGTGCTGTGCACTCGCGTTCTACCTAGACCGAAACCTGTGCCTTCATCTCCACACCTTCTCATAGCCACTGCTGAGCGGTTGAGGAGCCTGGCCTTCTCCTCAGAGCGTATATCCAAGTGGATCACAGAGTGCTATGCACAGTCCAATGCCACACCGCCTGGCAGAATTATGGCCCACTCCACGAGGGCATAAGCAACCATCTCTGCCCCCCAGCGGACGTCCCCTAGCACAATATCTGCTGAGTGGCAACCTGGCCGCTCTCTACATACCTTCACCGCCCGCTGTGCCATCGGCCAAGGGGCAGCCGAAGATGTGACTGTGGGCCTTGCCATCCTGCAGATGGGCAATAACTCTCACATCCTGGCACCCACCTCCAAGCTGATCACTGCTTGATACTCAAACGTGTTTGGAATACATTTAGGGACCTTCACTCAAAGAAGAAGAGGTTACTTACCTGTAACTGTAGGTTCTTCGAGATGTGTGGTCTCTATTTGTATTCCAATACCCATCCACCATCCCCTGTGCTGTGCACAGCCCTATTCAGCAATAAGAGGGTGACTGAGTGTGCGTCGGCTCGCATGGCTTCTTACAACCTCTCCTGGAACACGAGGCAACGGATGCTGCTGCAGAAAACCTTCTGGCTTCAGCGAATGGTGCACATGCACACCTGTGTTGGGAATACAAATAGGGACCGTGCATCTCGAAGAATCTCCAGTTGCAAGTAAGTAACCTCCTCATCTCTGCTGCAGTGAAATTATGTGGCAGGCGTTCATTAAAGATGCTTATGTGTGGGCTGCTTTGGGGCAAGGACCATCTTTTTGTTCTTTGTTGGTATAGGGGCTAGCATAATGGGTCCTGGGTCATAAGCAGGGCTTCTGGGTGCTCCGGTAATACAAATAATAAGTAGTAGTAATAAACTAACTGACAAAATATCATCATTCCAGGTATAAGAGATACCGACTTGTTGCTTTGTCAAACAGTAATTTTGGGATTTGTATAAAACCGTAGGTCAAGATTTTAAAACATTGGTGCCTTAACTTAGCCTTTTAAATCCATAAGCAGCCTGACTTTCAGAAGTACTGAGCGCCCAGCAGCTACCAAAGATGTCAGTTTTAGGCACCTGTGTTTGAAAATCTTTATTTTACTATCTAGTTTGTCTCATATGTATCGAGGACTGCATCCTTATTAAGTTTCTTAGCCCTTTTCCTGCATATGGGAACCCTTATCACTGTCAGGCCATTTCTAAATGATCTTTCCTTGATATATTGGAGTAGTGTCTCCGTCAATATCAATTACTTAAACTACTCTATGTGTCTTATTTTTTTAACAGCCAAAGATAAGTCCGAGAAAATATTTGCGTTAGCATTTGTGAAGCTGATGAGATACGATGGAACAACTTTAAGGGATGGAGAGCATGATCTTATAGTGTACAAGGTATAATTTTGATTCAGTCCTTGCACAGATTTGGTTACTGTGAAACCTTCACTTTATGGAATCTATTACACATCAGTCTAGTTGTAAGTACATGCAAAATTCTGTATTAAAAGAACGTTGTTAGCAGATTCAAGCAGTAGAAACGCAAAAGGTATGGTGGTAATGGAGGTTCATTTCTGTATGGCTCCTTCAGAATGATGACCAGAGGGCTCAGCAGAACCCAATAACGTGTACCGTACAATTGGGATATTCAGAAAATTGAGGGACAGGTCTTGAACAAGTTGTACTGTGTATGTGGAAATGGTGATTTTGTAGGGCTTGTAAGTTGGCTGCATATGGATGGATTTTCATGGGAGAGCAAAAAAAGCACGCCTTTGGCCATGTGAAATTTCACATTCCTGCTCCAAACCATGTTAGGTGCTAGATCTGGTTAGGGCTTTTTAAAAAAACAAACAAACTTGAACCTGAAATTTCTCTAAAACTGCAACAAACGTTAAGTACACCGACTGTAAATAGTTACATAGAGATTTAGGATAAATATCTTTATTCCTGTTTGAGAATATACTATATAACTTTGTTCTTTATTATTTTAATTATTTATCATGTTGTATTTTGATTAAAAAAAAAATCTTGCAGGCAGAAGCAAAGAAGTTGGAGGATGCCTCAACGTATTTAAGCTTGCCATCAACTAAAATAGAATTGGAAGAAAAAGGGCACGCCACAACTGGGAAGAGCATGCAAAGCCTTGGAAGTTGCACCATCAGCAAAGATTCTTTCCAGATTTCTACTCTTGTTTGTTCAACAAAACTCACTCAGAATGGTGAGTTAATAGAAAAAATGTCTTTCCACCTCATGTATCCCCACCCCACGTATTCCCCCCATTTATCAGAGGGGAGGGAATGTAGTATTGTTTTATTTTATTAAGGGAATTCTATACTGCTTGTGAAGGGTTTTGATTGACAGTTCTGTCTAAACACAGCACAAGTACAGTATAAGAATTGGCAGTATAGCATCCAAACCTTGCTCAGCCTATATGCTTTAGTCCAGCTGTGCCTAGGGATGAGAAAACACTTCCACACCCATTTAGGCCAAGGTCCTTCTGAGTGTAAAACAGGGCACCACAGGCTTTATTTAAAACTTTACAGTTTCTAGCATGGGTGCAAACAGGTGTGTGGGAGAGGATGATGGAACACATACCTAGTATCCCTTCAAAGTGTCTCTTTGTATAGAAGAGCTGGTAAGGAGGGTGGTGGAATGGCTGTGGTCCCCAATGGGCTGCCTTATATGATTTTCATTGTGTGTGCAGGGTTCTCCAAGTAACAAGTTCCACCCTCTTTTTGTGTCTGGTACAGAGACCAGAGCAGGGATAGATAGAAGGGTCTGGGAGGGAGGAGGAAGTTGCCAAGCCTCACCTTCTCTGTAGAATGTGCCCCATGGCTGGAGTTTAAGGATTGGGCATGGAGTGGCAGGAATGTGGTTAGTATCATAGTATCTCCTCTAAACCCTTCAGCCTCAGACCTGCTTTTCATGCTCCTTTGGCAGCCTCTGGTATAGTCACTGATACAGCTCACAGGTCATTGGAGCAGCTGACCCTCTTCTCCAGCCAGCTCTTTTGTTTTCACTCTGTTCCCATGGAGTGATCAGCGTCCTTCCTTGCTTCTAGACTAGTGGATAGGTTTCAGGATATGGGGTAGAGGAGGTCATCTGGGGGTGATGAAGTCATCTTGGGAAAGGAGATAGTCATTATAGGAGTCACCACGGGGAGAGGGATCAGGTAGTACTTGGAGGCTGGCTATTTTAGTGGTGTATGGTGGGACCCCAGACTTTGGAGCCCAGAAAGAACCTATCCTAGAGGGTTCTAGCCTAATGAACACAAGTCCTCTGCGGTATGTAATTTCTCTGTCCTCTCTTTCAAAAATTAGGTTGCATCTGTGCCTTTGAGATAGTTTAACTTAATTGACAGTTCATACGCATAGTATTTTGGAATACTTCAATATCGAATTGACACAGGTTAATTAAAACTTTCAGTGGATTTACTACCATGAATGATTGTGTTGATCTGTACCCCTCTTTCACTAGTATTTTACATAAGTGGTTATAAATACACATATTATGTAAAGCGTACAATACTGAGTGATGTGTTACTGCCAGCAACCATTAAGATTGTCCTGTAAATATATTCTTTATTCAGTTTCCTATCCAAATAGAAAAATAACAGGTCTGATATGACTTCATAGTCACCTCACAATTATACTGCAGTACTTTTTGACATCTCTGAAACACATTCCTGTTGTTTTATATTCAAAGCACATAAGATTCACTGCAGTCAACCAATTTTATGGTATAAGGAGATACTTAGCAATAATTCTAATTGCAACCCAAATATATGATACCATCCTAATGATAACTGAGTAATTTTATAGTTTCATAAAACATAGCTCACAGAATCCAATATAGAGGGTCGCACTGCTGGACACATTATTGTAGTTTGTGATTAATGATGTTTGTTGTTACAGTTTTTCTTATGTGTTTACTAATTAATACTAGTAATATTCAGAAGTTTGGCCAATAAGTTAATGGGACTTTCATGGAGTAAATATAGTGAATACTAAGACTGAGAGAACAGTTTTGAAATTCAGCTTTTATACCTCCCATATGTCCGTTAATGATGATATGTCTGGTTTTGTTTTTGCATTGCATTCTGTATTGCATATTGGTGTATTCTGATACATGTTTGACAACATGCTCTTTTGGAATTCCATTCCTTCAGCGACAGTGCCTCTCAGATGTAGTTTGTCTATCAACTCTTGAATGTTGTCCTCAACATCTGATCATTATCTCTAAGTAGCAAATGTTGGGCACTGAAATTATGAATTTTGTTCGTTTCTCTGAGCAGACATGGCCATTTTCTATTTTTTCATAGTTAACATTTGAATAGGCATGAGAGACGAGTGCAATAGCAGGATATTGAAACATGGTCTGATGGAGTCCCTTTCCTTCTCTTGCCAAGACACACTCGGCCATTGTGTGCAGTTGTCTCTGAGGCTTCTAACCTTGTTGGTCTCTTGTCCCCTTCAACTTCATCTGATGTAGACAGCTGACAAGCTTATGATGCAGGCAGATGTCTAGGATGCTAAAACAGGGTCCTCCCTTGGGGAGTGGACTCGTCCTCCTTTATGCCAATCTAATTATTTCAAGATAAGAATCAGTAAAGATAAGGCATTGAGGCCAGATTGTTGTCCAGCATTTAGCTGGAGAATCCATCCCGTACTCCTGACAAGTCTAACAAAGAACCTGCAATTAAGAGAGACATCCAGGATTAAAGTGACCAGTTTTCTCATGTTTTACATTTCCTGAAAAAAACTCCAGAATGATTGATTGTCCTCCCTCCTTTGGGGGAGTTCGTTGGATGCTGAACCTACTTGAATCTCAAGAAGGAAGTGAGATGGGAGATAGCTTATAAGCAAGCTCTTACTGAGTCTGATAAAACTTGTCTATTTCTGAAAAAATATTAATCCAGTGGCTAAAGTAAGTCCCCTAAAACCCCATTCTTGGTTTTTTTGGAATTATATTTTATTTCCAGTTGAATTAATAATACTTTTCACTTACTACTGTCCTACTTGTATCTCTTAAGGGGCAGTCTTTTTTAGCTTGCACTTCCCACATGAAAGGTTTTTTTCCCCCATTCCTCTCCTTCACCATCACTTTAATCTGTTTCAGCCAAACCAGTGTCTCTTTCACCTTCAACTTATAAATGTTTCTCTTTACGTAGTGTTATGGCATTCACTTTAGAGAGGGTAATAGCCTTGAAACATTTGTTGGTGCTCAAAAATTATACTACTCCACGTGTTGCTATTGATTATTTAAGTATTCTGTAAACAAAACCCTATCTAGTAAGAGCTTGACCTTTTCCTTTGGAGGAATACTACTCAGAGGTACCGTTTTTTTTCATAGTAAATTGCCATACTGTTGTATGGTTTAAAGAACTGATGCATTTATTATGTACATTAGTTAGTTATGTACTTTATTTTTTTCCATGGGATATCTAACATATATATTTGCTGCATTCTCAAAATACATTGCTAGATCATCTCTTCAGCTATTAGCCTTAAAAATATTTTCTGCAGGTTTTCTTATTTTAAAAGCACAGAAGAATGCACCCTCAGCAACTTCAAAGGCATGAGATCTGGATTGGTTGGAGGGGTAAGGAGTAAGGGTATAGCTCCTTTAAGGGTTTCCCTTTCCCTTGTGATTGAGAGAGGGATGGGGCTGTGGTGGAGTGGGGGAAGCAATTGGTGGGCTGGCTAGCAGGGCTAAGCTAAGCCACTGACCCTTGTTCACCCTGGCGAGAGTATATGAGCCCCACTCACTGCTGGGTTAGAATAGAACCGAGTTGTTTTTTTGGTCTGCTGTGGGCATTGTGCTTGTCACCTTTATTGGGACTGGGAAGGAGTTTTGTTTTCACTGCTAGATTGGCCAGGGCAGGAAGGGCTTTTACCTTACCCACTGCAGCTCAGGGACCTGGTGGAATGGGTCAGAAGGTCCTGTTCGGGTTGTTGCTATTTAGCAGGTGACAGGTGTATAGTGGCATGATAAACCGGAGTTGAAAGTGGACTGAGGGGAAGGCATCCCATAAAGAAACTGGGAAATGGGGTTGGGAATCTTAGTGTGAGGCACAGCAAGGAGATAACCTCCTTCCCCAGCTCCTTAACCCTCATACCAGGCTGGGGCAGTGAGGCTCCAGCAATGGGCTGAAGACCTGAAGGGAACTCTCGAACTTGTAGAAATGATTGTGGAAGAAAACCTGACCTGCACTGTATGAGTTATTGTTTGATAGCTCCTGGGTGAACCAAAGTGTTGAGATTTGAGAAACCAGCACTTGCTTAGCCTTCTTTCTAAAAGTACCTTTAGTAAATGTAATCCACTTTTTTGAAAACGGCAGTGCTTTCATAATAGAAATCATAGTCTGTATGCTATAGTGCAAAGTTTTCCTTAGCATAATTACTATTGATTTTGAATGTAAGTAAGTTTCCATGGATGACATTCTCAGAGTAAATGCACTTGAAAGTAGGAATATAGTTGTACCAGATTTCAGCAATGCAGATATACAGTAGTGAAATATGTAAACAGCCAATAAAAATGGCTAACTTGGAAGTGAAGTTTTTATTTATTGTGAATATAGTCATGGTATGTGAATAACTCCTGCAGCACATCATAATTGAATGTTTTTCTCACGTACAGTGGATCTCTTGGGGCTTTTGAAATGGCGATCTAACACAAACTTGCTGCAGCAGAATTTGAGACAGCTGATGAAAGTTGATGGTGGTGAAGTGGTTAAGGTAAGAAACAAGTTAAATTTTTTTAATGAATTTGATATTTAAATTTTTCCGTCCCTCTAGCTTAGGTATTTATATGGCCCCCATTAATGTAGTATATGAGTGCCTCACAATCTTTAATGTCTGAGTCCTCACAACACCCCTGTAAAGTAAGGAACTACTTTTAAATACAGATGTGTAATGCACAGGTTTTTAAAATATTGATATTTTGAATACTGCAGTAAACTTGCTTTTATATGCACATTTAAATGCCAAAAGGGATTTTTATTTAAACAGTACAATCAAAACTTCTTGAAATTATTGCTGAGGGAGAGTCCCTCAATTATTGTGAGGTAATAAAATGCATAGCAAAAGTTCAATTCTCTAAATAAATATTAAGTGCATTTTATTATGTTTGAATGTGGAGTGCAAGTGCCACATTTCAGCAAGTGGTGCTAATATTTTTTTTAATTATGTTTCCTGCTGAAGATGTAGCTGGGCCAAGTAATTTACATTTGCCAAGGCCATAAGGGCATTGAGTGACTGTAGAGACCAACATAAAGACAGGTTTATTTGTGGAAAACAGTAGGCTTAGACTTTATTGAATACATTGTACTAAATCGAATCCAATAATGTCAGCAGAAGTAATATATCAAGAGTAGATGAACCTTAAGGGCCTTTATGCTTCTATTAACCAAATTAAAATTCAAATAAAGTAAAAAAGCACTAATGAATGCTTCATCTTAAGGAAACTTCGCACAGCTGAGACCACAGTTATTGTTCTTTACTGAGTAAGGAAAGAATAGCCTCTTAAATAGAACTTTGCAGAGTGGCCTTGTTTATTACCATTTTTGGCTTATATTACTTGAGAGCCATAGCTCAGTGCTGATGCTCACTGCCAACTAACGTTATTATGGGTAATTTTCGTTGTTCTCCAAATTACCTTGGAGAGTATACACCAGGCAAATACTTGCGTGCCCAGTGATTACAGAAAGATAACAGAATGTCACACAACGGAAAGTTAAAACAATATTTAGGTGAACCTCCCTTCCCCTTCCCACCACACTGCTGTTCCCCCACCTCTCCGCACACACTTTTGTAGACAGAGCAGGTGAAATTTTAGCCTCACTGAAGTCCATTAAAAAGCTCCCATTATTAATAGGGACATGCATCAATTAAATTTTTGCCCATGACTGAAGAGTTCTTATTTGATATGCTGGTCTTTTTCTTAGTTCTTTGTTTAAAGGACCATTGCCTACTGTTTCTACAGTGCAAGAAAAATATCTTAGTAGTTTAGTCTGTATAATATTGCATATTTATTATTCATTTTTAGTTTAACTATTCCTTTTCCTTCCCCTCATTTGTTTCCTTTAAACTACTTCCAATTTTCAATAACATAATTTTTAATAATGTCTTCTTGATCAAGAATATTCAAATTTTCTGTGAATAAATGATCAATGATTCATAAATCTCCATCAAAATATCATTATATTCTGTGCTAGTATTGACACATCAATAGTGAACATATAAGAGACTTGTTGGTTGTTTGACTCTCATTCTACATCAGTAGTAGTAGAATTAATGCTATCTTCTTTCAATGGAGATTCTCATTGTAATGGAGTTCTCCATATATGTTATATGGACACAATAGTACAGAGCAGTAGTCCTTATTCATGACATCCCTCCCTGATGAATGTATCCTCCTGCAAGTCTCCAAAGCCCTGCCACAATCTGCAGCAAGATGCTATTAGTAATTTTCTTGGGGTATTCCTACCCTCTATGGCCTGGACAGCCTGGAATCTTTCTAGTCATCATTGTAAGTCCTCATTGCATGTGTTCAAAACTGATCATACAACATGAGTTCTACAAATGCAAGAAAATGTGTGTGATGCCCACATGTGCAGAAAACATCCAGTCATGGCACCTTTTCATCTCTCTGTTTTCTTTTTAATGGAGTTTAGCCATGCTATCAAACCATCGTATGTTCGGGAAAACTTTACTCACTCCCACTGAAAAGTGAATGTTTAAATGCATAGCAGTGTGAACTGCCATGTTGTTTCCCCTAATTAAATGAATATGACTGCAAGACACACATTGTTCTACTAAAAATTAAAATGTGAAGTCAAAAGCTGATTTCTGCCCCAAGCTGCGTGCCCATATGGAAATGATGTTGTAAGCTCTTTCTCTTTGCTGTTTGCCTCCAGATTTTAGTAGCATCATATTGTGGTTACAGATTCCTTGGGATGGAAATTGGTGGCCAAAAGAGGATTACAGTGGGTTACTAAATAAAAGTTAGCTTGTGATCATTAACAATGAGTCTCTTGTTGAGCATTGTTGAGTCTGCTGAACAGCCCAAGAAGCAACCTGAGTGTGATCTCATAAGCTGTTACACATCTTCATTGTTGTGGCAGATCCAATCCCAAAAGAGTCACTCTACTCCTCTGGTTGATGGAAGATTGCCCCCCCCCCCCCCCCCCCCGGATAAAATCTCTTGACAAAACATAGCTTACTCCATCCCTAAACTGGAGTCCCGCTACAGGAGAAGACTGCCTACCTGTTCAACAGAGACAAAAGGCATTTGCTGCATAAAACTACATTTTCCCCCAAAATCTGAATCTGAGCGGTGATACATTCACATGTTAATCTGCCTGGGAGGAGCTGATGTTTTTTCTGTCCATCTAGTAACACAAATTGCCCAGACACAGACTTATTGGTTGGTAAAACTAAATGCATCATGCAACCTGAAGAACTCCAACCCTATGTGCTATTAGCCCATGATAGGAAGGAATATTACATTATACGGTTATAGAGTACTTTTTTCCATTGTGCTTACATCAAGTCCCCTTTGCTAATCTGCTTTTACTTTCATGTTGTGCAGATCAGGGTGTCCTGCCAACTGTCTAGTGAAGATTCTTCTTCAGTTACAGTGATAGAGGCCTGTAGGTTTTATTGGTGGGGGTGGGGAAAGAAGGTTGTGTGTGGTATTTCCCATGCCTGCATGTATGCTATTAGTTAACTGCTGTGGGTCTGAGAGTTTATGGAGCCATAAATAGCTATGTAGTATTTTCTGTTAATGTCAAGATAATTTCAAAGCATCTGAGTACTACTTGATTTATTTAGCATGAGTCTGACTTGCTTGTTTGTGTTTTGTATTGTGATAGATGATCATTTCTCAAAAATTGCATGATTCTTTTTAATAACAGTATGTTAAGATTGAATCCTGAAACACTTTATTGGTATATTCACTATAAAAAGTAAAGGTTTCTGTTCAAGTACTCGTGTGTGTGTGTGTGTTTGGGGGGAGGGGAGATAATGCATTTTCTGGCCAACTCTGATATATAAATACTAAATTTTATAAAAATTCACTGAAAAACAAAATGTGGGAAAAAATTCTTGTTCTATTTTCCAACTAACGCTTTTATTTTTATATTCTATATAATGTAAAAATAAAAATTAGTATGTAGATCCATGTAAAATATCAATTTGGGAAATTTAATCTCAAATTTCCTGTAAAATATAGTGACCTGAATATTTATCTGCAGTTCCTACAAGATACACTAGATGCACTTTTTAACATAATGATGGAGAATTCCGAGAGTGAGACGTTTGACACCCTGGTGTTCGATGCTTTGGTAAGTTGACTTGTTTGTGTATAGGTATTTGGCTAAAATGTAATTTATTGATGTATAGATTTAATTATGGTCTTTTTCATAAATAATATTCATCCTATCACCTGCAAATCACACCTTTTGAAATTTGTTTTATTTGAAGTGGGTTTTTTTAAAACTCCCAGTAGGGCTTTAATTCAAAAGGGATGAAGGTTTCGGACACGTTGCATCACAGTGATTGAGGGTTCTGACACACTGCATCATAGTGATTGAAGACAAGTGTAAGGGGGGCGCTCTGCTGACAGTGTCAGAGACAGAAGAAATGGTGAAGCATATAGTGGACCAACTGCTGTGCTGGGACACCGGTAGAAGTAGAAGAGTGGTAGTGGGGCAGAGAGAGAACCATTCCTATGTTAGGAACAGAAAGCTGGTAAAATAAATAGAACAGTAGGATTGTTGTTTTTAACTAAGGTCAGTCTGTGACTGTGTCTGTCCCCTGTATGTTAGTGTGGCTCGTTTGAAATGATTCGACTGGTTAGCTCATGAGAACATAGAAATTCAAAGATTTTGTGGATAATGGAATAATTATACTGATTTAACAGGTATTTATCATTGGACTGATTGCTGACAGAAAATTTCAGCATTTTAATCCTGTCTTGGAAACCTACATTAAGAAACATTTCAGTGCTACTTTAGCCTACACGTAAGTATATTTTTGGTTTTTTTAAAATATTTTTCTAATGAAAACATTGTTGTACAGAGTATCCAGATGGTATTCACATTTTCTTTTGCATAATTTAAATAGGTGTTCACCTATAAACATGAAGAAACATGGGTTTTTTTGTTTTTTGAGTAGGAGATATTCCTGCTTTCCTTTTTCAAATCTGAATTAATAGTAACTGTGCTGTCAATCCTGAGGCATGAAGCCCAGAGTTCCTCCTTTTTAATGAGATGGTGATTTGAACTATTTCAGACATGTTTATGGAGAAAAGTATCATAAACAAAACATGACAACTGCCAATTATACTTGTGCAAGGAATAATAAATATTGAAAAAATTAAAATCCATCTTGCTTACAGTGTAAAATTGGTGTTCTGCTTATCTTCTATTATGTGTACACCGTTGTCATCTTTAAGCAAAAACAAAAACCCACAAAACAAAAACAGAACCCTTCAATTTTCTTTTGCTATTTGCTACTTCAGACTGTTATTGTTGGATACAAAAACAGTAATGGATAGCTTTGCTTGGCAACTTTCTCTTCCTCGGAATGGAGTTTGGTAGCCAAATTACTTTTATGATCTATGCGGGAAGAAAATGTGTGAAGTGTGTTCACTTAAGTAATAAGGACAAAATTAGGTCTTCACTAGCTTCAGTGGGTTATATGTGTTTTAAAAATATCACTCGTATATTTAAAATAAAACTAAAGATGGTGATTTTAAAACTGGGAGTTGTCTATATTCTAGTTTAAAAAGTGATTTCTAGTCGAGAAAACTGAGGCTATAGAAGTGGTAATTTTGTTAGTCTGTAGAAACAAAATGTAGAAAATCCCGAAGTTGGAGACGAAGTCATTTTTTAATGTCAACTGCTACTGTCTATAATTTTGAAACGGCAAGTTTTACAGGATCTATTTTTTCACTGCTCCAAAGTAAAGCCATATGCAAGGATACTAGATACAACCCAGAGGGGCTATTGATTTAAATAGAATTACATTTAGAAATCTGTTCACAAATATTTATGATAATTCTTTGCACTTGCATAGCGCCTTTCACCTGAACATCTCAAGATTCAAAGGACTTTGTAAATATTAAGTCTGCTAATTCTCTTATGAAATACATGATGCTGTGCTCATTTTGGAGGTAGGTAAAGTGTGCAACACAGAGGTTAAGGGAATTCCCCAAAGTCACAGTTAGTCACTGGTAAGGATTGAATTGAATGAAGAGTCCTTACTCTCACATAATAAAATGCTTTAATGTTATCTGCACTAGCTGTGGCTAATATTGTTAAATTCTTCAGGAAACAAAATTCTTAATTGGAAAAAGTACAAGTAACCTGTATTATTTTTTAATAGAAAGCTGACTAAAGTTTTAAAAAATTACGTGGATAATGCTGAGAAACCTGGTGTAACTGATCAACTTTTTAAAGCTATGAAAGCTCTGGAATACATCTTCAAATTTATAGTACGGTCCAGAATATTGTTCAATCAGTAAGTATTAACAGTTTTTTTAAAAAAACAACCTTGGGGTTCATATTTTTTCCTTTCTTAAATATGATTTTTCTCTTTTTATTTAAAAATTACAATTAGAGACGCTTGTGATGAGTTCTGGCTTTTTTTTGTATTTACTGTAAATGTTGTGCCTACTAGTAGACTGGTATGAAACAAAGCATTTTTCATAAGGGCACTGGCTGTTTAAAGGTAAGTACTGTGCAGTAAATAGAATATTATTTATTTCTTCATAAAGCACTTGTTTACTCTGCACAAATTTGGTTTATTCCCAAAGTATAAGAAAATGTAACATAGGCATTAGACAGAAGGAATAAGATTGACCGTGCTAAGACCTTGTGAGGTGTGATGGTTTTGTGGACACATTGCTACTGTTTATTTTTTGGCCACACTGCTACTGGTTTTATAGCTTGTAGTAATCCCTTTCCAGCTACCAAACCCTAACTACTCCAATGATTAGTTCAACGTCCTTCTCTCAGCTGCCTTGTGCCAAGCCTTGCAAATGTAAATAGTGAATATACGTGGGTATATTTAAGCATGGACCTCACAGTGGGAGTGACACCTCAGTTTAGAAAGAGCACATAAGCGCTTCCATTGTTGCTCATAGCTTTCTGAATGTTGTAAGGGTCTGAAAACAGAAGGTTCCCATAATTTCAAATCGGTTTTTTGAAAAGACAATGTATTTATTTTAATATTTTAAAATAATTCTTTATAAATTCATTGATTTTAGTCAATCCTTAATGATGTGGCCCAGAGAAAAGCTTCCTTCTGCCTCCCTGCAAAAGGTTGAATATCTTCCAACCAGGTGAAAAAGTTACAGTAATCTGAGGCGAGGAACTAGCAAAAGTCAGCCCTGGACCAGTGACGGTTACTGAGCTGCATCCCATTAGTAGCATTAATATTTGGATAATTACCATCTTGATGCCAATGCGAGTTTCACAGATTTCCAGTGGCATGCACAATATTTGTTTTGAGCTATTGGATCACAAAACCATGACACTATTATATATCTCTGTGCTACCTGAGGTGATTGTTAGGTTTAACTTTTCTCTCCCCTCTGTTTGTATAGGTTGATTAAAAACTAAGGAATCCTAGCCATGAGAATGAAAGAATTTAAATATGAATAAATTTAAGACACTCAAAACATTTCTAAAATAGTGTTCCTGGTAACATATGCAGAATTCATACTAACGTAGTATGGTTTATAAGTTTGACTGGAATTGTTTGAGATGACCAGCATAACTCATTGGTTTGCCACTTGTAAGTAACATAGCCGTTCAAAACCCATGCTAATAAAGTTGTTACACCTCACTACAGCATCCAATACTCTAATTACGGCAAGAGTAACTGCCACAGTTAAGGCTGCCTTCCCATGCTAATCTTTAAGGCCTCAACTTACTATAATCTTTTAAAATCATTTAAATAAAATAAAAACAATAATATTCAAGCAGTATGTTTAGTGCTGAAGTTTTAAAGAAAGTCAAACCAATGAACTGGGGGAAGTCACCGGCTAAGCACCTGGAACCAGAGTTTGTTGACATGCCACTCTGACAGCACTGGCTTTTTCTCCAAATGCAGAAAGAGAATTTTTTTCATTTCAGTTCAATGACGAGTTCATTCAAAGTTGAGAAACTGATTGATTGATTGGTAGTTGAAAACGCAGAAAAGCTTGATTTCCTCTTCCAATCTATGAATAAAAATAAGGTGTAAGGAGATGAGATCTACTTTTTCTAAAATCTTGAGGGACATGGTGATCAGAAGCAATCAAGTCAATTCCCTAGCAGATAATACTTGATTTGTTTAAAAAGTTAACTTTTGTATTACAAACTAATTTTGATAAACTTTTCTCCTTGTGCATCTAGCACATTTAAGGTAGTTTTATTTAACTAATCAAAAAAAAATTCAATGGCTGTTTCTGTGCATTTTAATTGAATTCCAATTTCTAACCAAATGTCGCTTGAGGAGTAAATCATGATTAAAAAGTTAATTTAGTCAATAAAAATGCATCATTCGCCATTTCTAACACAATAAAAAAGTAAGAATTAAGATTCTGAATAAATGTACTTAAAACGCTCTAATTACTTAAATATGTTCGTGTAGATATAGTGTATCCTCATGGCTAGCAAAAAGTTGTACCAAATTATACCAACCAATGAGAATGAACCTTTATTTAGGAAAATAACTTAAAAGTACAAACAAACCACAAGGTTAAAATTCTTAATTTCAATCAAGGTTTCCTGTTTGTTGATTTTAAATCATGATGTAAATCACTTTGATATCAGAATGATCTGCATGCAACTCTGGGGCCTCTGCAGGACAGTCCCCTTCCCTGGGACCCTGCAGATGGCTTTATGCTCATTCCAAGTCCTGCACAGAGGGGGAGGGCGTGGAGGGAGGGAAGAGAGGATTCAAAATGTTCCCCTCTCAAATCTAATGCAATTTATGACAAAATGTTAGCATTTTCATAGAGAACCCCTTATCCGAGAGGTTCTCATAAGCTCCCATGGCCAAAGAAGTAGGAGGGAGCATGGCTGAGCATGGCCTCCTGCAGATACTGAGGGTATCTGTGAGGTTTGGGGCTGGATTTTTCTGTAGGGAGTAGCAAACCCTCTCACTCTCTTCCTCCAATAGAATAATGTGGAGCTTCTCCATGAGAAAATCCTTGAGGAGATTTCTTTGCAAAAACTCCTGTGGCTTTAATATGGGAGGGGAGAATCTCAACATTTCTAGCATGCTGTTTTTCAGTTTGTTTAATTTTCTGTGACTTGAATAGGTAACTTTGTTGCCATGCCTGAAATCAATATTCACCAATAAAGCTAAGTACAGGAATTTTCCAGCAAGTTAAAAATTATCATGGAATTGCTTACACCAAATATACAAACCTATAAAAGCAAGTTTATTATGTATTTGTCTTAATTTAACCTTTAATGTAACCCTTTTGCTATTTCTTATAGGATATAACAAGGTTATTACAAGGGATTTATGTAGAGTTCTGAAGTTAACAACGTCACCAAGGTTTTTTTTTTTTTTTTTTTTTTATAAATTAGGCAATGTAATTGCTTTCAATAATAATCTTGCTGTGAGATTTATAAGGTACTGATTGTCACTTATTCTGTTTCTGGTCTTACAAATCATTTTACAAGAAAAAAAATAATTATCTCTCACTGCAGATGAGATTTACAGAAAAAAATGATCCCTTAGTGTTTGCCGTTGGATTTCCTGGTGCTAAGCACTAATTCAAAATGCATTAGCACTGGGAAATCACAAGTCTGAATGATAAGGGTTTAATCAGAGAAGCTACTAAATTGGAATGATGCAACAGTTGGTTCTCAGTTGTAAAGCTGAAACCCTGGCTAATATGTGGTGATTATTTAGAACTATTAAAACTGTGGCATTAAGGGGCTGTCCTTAAAAGAAGTGGTCTCAGTGCTAGTGTTTTAGTGTGAAACACTTAACAAGCAAGTGTAGTTCCTGTTTTAAGAAAAAGCTTTTTAAAAAGGCGTTATTACCAATAATAACTTTTTAAATAAATTTATTATTCAACACGCTGACTGTGTTTGGTACTGCACAACAAACATACGCACATGCCCTCCGCATGCCAAGTTTACTACAGTCTCAGATAAATGTACAGGCCCTGCTCCAGCTGATGTCATTGAGAGTTGCAGGTGCTCTGGATTTACTAAAGCACAAAGATTTTTTTTTTTCTTGTCTTAACCAGCTTCATGTATCTATAAAATGTATTGATGGATACGGTCTTTTAAGCTTTACAGTTCCTTTTGTTAGGGGAACATTGCAATTTCTTAGTTTATTCCTAAAATATAATTTTAATAATCTGTGCTGTACGGCCTACAATTCTAGTTGGGAAGCAAAGTTTTCAGAGCAAAATGGTACAGTATAATAACTTTTTTTTTTCATTTTCCCTAGTGTACTACTTTAATAGCTGCTTTATGGCTCCCAAGGAATATGCATTTTATGCTAGAAATAATAGACATGAATTTTTAGTGTAATGTAGCATGCACCACTTTTAAAAAAAAAAAAAAGTATCCCTGTTCCTTGTTTGGAATTTGTAATATAGATTCTCCATCGTGAGTTTTAAATAAATCTTATGTGATGTTTTCAAATATGAAGAAATCAGACTAAGGTTTAAATATGTAAAATGCCTACCTATAATGCTCCCATTGCCCTAGAAAGGCGGAACCATATGCTGAAGTTAGAAGTCTCTCTTCTGATGCAGTTTAATCAGTGGGTAAAGTAGAAGATAAAAAAAGGGAAGTGAACAAATATTGATAGGCAGCAAGTTTAAAACAAACAAAAGGAAGTATTTCTTCACACAACCACAGTCAACCTGTGGAACTCTTTGCCAGAGGATGTTGTGAAGGCCAAGACTCTAACATAGTTCAAAAGAGAACTACATAAGTTCATGGAGGATAGGTGCATCAATGGCTATTAGCCAGGATGGGCAGGAATGGTGTCCCTAGCCTCTGTTTGCCGGAAGCTGGGAATGGACGACAGGGCATGGATCTCTTGATGATTACCTGTTCTGTTCATTCCCTCTGGGGCACCTGGCAGTGGCCACTGTTGAAAGACATGATACTGGGCTAGGTGGACCTTTGAACTGAACAGTATGGCCGTTCTTATGTTTTTTTGATAGCTACTGTGACAGATCATGATGACATACAACAAAGGGGCATTTGAGCACCTGATGTAAATAGAACGTAGCTTGATGGAGAAAGAGGCCTGGGACTAAATGTCTCGAATAGGCCCATAGCCAATCAAAAACTGAATGTATAGTGCATGGGAAACATTTCTGGTGCTTCCCACAACCATTTTTATAAATACCACAATTTAAACTTGACAAGGATGTCATGCTTCGCTGGCCTTCTGCCCTTCTGTCTCCTATATACCATGCACCCTTAACTGTTGTTTCCCTCTGTGGCATATGTTAAACCTGTCTAGTCATACTTTCTTTAATTGAAGCTCTTTAAATGGGAAGAGCTCTCAGAAGTCTATTGACTGCATCCCTGCTAAATGTGAGCTATGGAGATTGTCACAGAACAAACAGTATGTTTTAAGTTTCTACAGGAAATTTGTTCATGGTAATGGTGCTTTCCTTTTGTTAGACATAGAAGCATTCCTCATCTCACCCTTCTCCCTTCATTCTAGGCAAAATCCATGTTGCATTTAAAATAGAAAGGAGGTTTGGGAATTGAGTCACTTTTTTGCCATATTTAGAGATTGGACCAAATTCTCTAGCTGGGTTACATCCTTTTTGCATCACTGTGGTGGCACAAAGGAGTTGTGATCTGGCCTTAAGCACCAACAGAGATCCTCTGGCATTGGAGGAACTCCCTGCTAGTGTATTTGGTCTGCAGAGTGGCCCCTGTGAATTAGTTCTGTTTCAATAGTTAAGCCTACACATTTACCCTAATTATATACTCATCTATAAACAGAACGAAGAAGTTAATAAACTATCACAAAAATCTATAACAACAAATGTTGTTAAAAAAGCACAAAAATAAAAACAAAAAAACCTGAATTAGTCTAAACCAAAAAGTCTACTAATATAACTCAAAAACTATGTTAAAATCATGCTGGTTAAACAAAAAGCAAGTCCAAATATTAATAAACCAAAATTAGTGTGTCAGATATTAACCCTAATTAATAGACAAAATAAGAAGGGGATGGACTATTCCCCATCACTTCCTTTTTAAGTCCTTAAAAAAAACATCTTTTATAAAAACCAAGAGGGGGGCTGTTGGATCAAGCCTCACCATCATGGCTACTACTCCCACCATCTCCTAAGACCCCAGACCTTCTTTTTCCTAATCCTGAAAAATGTCCTGACCAAACTGGGCCCCTCCCCCCCAAAAAAAAGAGAGAGAGAGAGACCCAAATAACATCTGTCAGCTCCTGCTGAATCCCAAATACCACCTAAAATAAAATGAAATCAAGATTTATCAGCAGCACAACAGCTCCAGCCCATTTCAACTAACATTTTTTTTTCCTTCCAAAAAACAATTACTACCATCTTTAATACCATCTAAAAGGCTGTTCACAAGGAGTTCTAAAAACTCTCTCCAGTTAAAAAAAGAAAAGGAACCAGGAATATTGTGAAAATAAATGCTTTATTTAATACTTTACGTGTCAAATATTGTAACTGTTTTTCTTTATCTTTAATAAAAAGGCTGTTTAATGGTGTGTTTGCCATGTCCTAAGAAGGCTAAATTGCATGTATAGCAAATCTTGTTTAACACTGTTGAATTTTAGACAGTAACTGAGTTATGTTAACACCTTTAGCCTATATATTCCATATCAATTAATGCAAACTCCCCTCTTCCCACGCAGGGTGTTCGCTGGTGGTGGAAAGGGGGTTGCCACATTAATTCTCCTCGCATAGCGCCTATTAAGAACCTTACAACAGTGGCAGGATTTAAAGATGACTAGCACCACTTGTAAGTTAGGCTGGGTCTGGTCCTGAGAATCAGGGAGCTGGAACTGGCTTCCTGGCATGCTCTTCCCACCTCCTTGCTTACTTCTGTGCTGAGTGAAGAGGTGAATCTAGCCCATTATTTTGCAGCTATGTGGAGTTGGGTGATAATGAGAGGGATTGATAGTGTCTCAGTGATTCAGGAGTCAGTGTTAAATCTCCATCTATTTGATGTTTTACCAGGGGAAGCTTTAAATTAGTAATAATCCATTTTAGGTCTGTGACTTGAACGGATTTCCTTTTGGTTAACTATTTGTTCTATACCATTCTATACCAAACACTCCTGCCTGATGGATAAAAGTTGTAGAATTTAAGAACCCCTTTTATTTTAAATGTCATGAGTAATACAAGGCATTGTCAGTTGTCATTTGAACAAAAAATGACTGCTTTGGGAACAATTTTCATTGTTTTATACAATATTGCCAGGGTTTTTTTTTCCCCTTATGGTTTATGCTTCTATTACACAAGCAATTATTTGTTTCTCAGACTTTATGAAAACAAAGGAGAAGCAGACTTCATGGAATCCTTGCTGCAGCTATTTAAGTCTATCAATGAGATGATGAGTAGTGTCTCTGATCAAACTGTGATGGTGAAGGTAGGTGTTTCAAAGAAAAATGTCTTGGCTTTGCATTTGTATAATATGATAGCATGACTTAAATACATTTTCATTGCATTGAGAAGCAATAATTATGCAATTGATGCAGCATGAAATTGTATAGTGTGCCAGTGGTGTATTTTACTTTGAACATAGTTAATACTTAATGCATTCTAGTAAAAGGTGTGTCTGGCTGTATACTTAAATATACCTGATGTAGGTATGCAAGCCCCATCTTATACTAGTGCAGCACATATGCCCCAGGAGAAAGTGTAAGAACTCCACAGTAGGCAGATGTGGGATCATGTGCTCCTCATGTAGGTCTCCTCCTGATCTCTAAAAGAGTACTTAATAAAATAACTTTTTATATTGTGAGGAACAGTGATGCTCAACAGAGGACAGTCCGGTGAATTTGCTACAGGTGATTTTGTTGCTGCTCCTTTTCTCTTACACATATGAGTGATGGGTCGCCAACAGGAAGATTCCGTGGTAGTTGGGAATGGCCGAGACATCCCTGCCACACAGCATTCCATATTTGTTTGAATGGCCCCTTAGAGTCAGGTGCCTCAGTTATCCCTTTTTTTGTTTTTCTTTCTGTGTTTGTATGTGTGGTTAATTTATTTTTCTGATTAGTTCAGGAAAGTCTTTTTCTGTCATTATAAAAGTCTCTAGTTTTCCTCTCCATGTAAAATATTACATATTTTTATGTAGCTATGTTTGTAATCAACATTTAATTATTTTATTTGGTGATCTTATCAGTGTTTTCAACTGGTAAACTAGTATTTTTATTGTATTTCAAATGTTATAATCAGGGGTACAACTCCTCAACACAGCGCATCCACAAAAAGAATGGAACCAGGCCAAAAATGTCACCAACTAAAATATCCTTAACAAAAGGAGTGAGGCAGAGACTTCCAATTCATTTGACCAATCCAGACTCTTTTTACCACCCTTTTGCCCTCTCCCAACAAGTGCTGGAGCACCAGTTGTCTCTCAGAACCAGCTTTCCGAACCTAATCAGCATTTAATTTCCTGTGGTATCTTTCCTCAAAACTGTAGGATACAACTAACTTTCAGTTCATCCTTGCACTGTCCAGTGAAGGGCAGGAATATGTATTAGGTATTTATGGCAATGTTGTTCTGCATTGGCAGCATGGTTTACACTGGTGCAACTCAGAGCATAATTATATCCCTGATCATCTTATCTGAGAATGAGGAAACTATGCTACTGAAAATTAGTAAGTTGCAGGACAAATTAACAGGTTTTTTTGGAATGGACGTGATCTCCTTCCTCAGGTGCCAATCCTGTAATGAGCTTCAAGCAGGAAAACCCCTGCACTGAGCCCTGTTTGGAGTCATTGGGCACAGGTGTATCCACCCATGTGGTGGTCACTGTAGCATTCTAGTCTCAGAGGATGCTGTAAAATTTTGAAAAGTGGCCAGGTCCCACGTTGAAAAGAGAATTTGCCATTTAGGAGCCTGCATCTCATTGAAAGTTAGTGAGATGTAGTCTACTAAGTCACTTAGGTGCTTTAGAACAATTTACCTGGATTGTTTAAAGATTTAGAAAATAAAAATGATTCCTGAGTGTAACTTCTCAAATAGATAGTCCTCAGATGTGCCAACCTCACGCTGTGCATACTTGGGGGATGCTTTAAGTTTAAGCAATCTTTACTCCTTCCCCAATCCTGCGGTTGGCAAGCGGTTGAACTAGCATCCAGTAGAAATTTCTCTGAGAATCATTCTGTTAGCCAGGGATCAGCAAAGCACATTTCGCATCAGCTTTCAGTGCTTTCCCAAACCCAGCTGGTCCCTGACATACACACTTTGCTGAGGGGGAATGGTTGGCATAAAGCTTTGCGCCATCTCTTAACTTTCCTGTTCTGGGGTTATCCTGAGCTGCCTTGTTCCAGGCTTGCCAATTTATACCTCTCTAGGGTCAAGGATCTGGCCCAGAATATTTAAAATTAACTTTTGTATTTGTTGGTACAAAAATTATACTTGAGAAAGATATTTATCATGAGAGGACATGCGTGGATTTTTGGAGTTGTTTTGGTTACCTTTCTGGAGCTCTTTGGAGTTAATTTTACAAAAAGCGATTTTTCAAGCTGCATATATTTTTAAATTTTGATTTTTAACAATTAATGCATATGATTTAAAAACAGGTAATTCTGATCAAGATTGATTAGTTGAGTTTGTACAACTATTGACTTAATAGGATATATTTGAAAACTTTGGTTTGACTTAACTAAATATAACTAATTAAGAAATGAGTGAAAATGCTTTCTCCTAGGCACCAAATAATTTTAAGTGATGTAACCTTGATTTCCTGAGTTAGTATAATACAAATTATATTTAGATGCAGTCACTTTGTTAATACATATCAAAGCTTGTTTTGCAATCCATTGCCTGAAAAAAATTAATTTCTCTCCATATATTTTTTGTGGATCTGTGACAGGGAATGTTAGGTTTCCTTTTGCACTTTCAAGTTAGCTTCCTTTAATACTACGGTAAATTAAAAACTATGGTTCATCCCACAAGAAACATTTTCTTTAGTTTTAAGGCGGGAAACAAAATCTGAATGCTGTAATTTTGAGCCACTGCAGCATGTTTGTGTCCTTGGTGGTAGTCTGTACAAATGCTGACTAGGGCTGATCTTGCTAAGCTTGAGGGTTTGACAGGATCACAGCCCAAGGTAATACTCATGTAGCTGTATTGTATTTTCTGTTGAATACATGGGAGATAGAAGTAACCTTGAAATCACATTATGAATAAATCTAGTAAAAGCAGCTTTACTACTTCATCATATAAATAGCTTTCCTAATTGTACATGCTGGATGTTCAGTAACAATATACTCAATTTCTTGACTACACGACTAGGGATGCAATTTCAAATGAATGATTTAGAAAAACAGACACATATTAAATTAGGTGTTTTGTTCTATAGGATACCAAACTAGTTTCTGTTAATCTGTACAGATTTAATTGTGTTTTTTCTCTTGTATTTATGCAAAATACACTTAGTTTGTTGTTTGTTCAAATACTGTTTATTCAAAACACTAAGCAGAATACTGTAGTTGAACTAGTAGTATAAAATCACTTTTTAAAAACAGCTGCTTTGACAGGTATTTGGGTTTTTTGCTTCTGCTGTTCCTTGTTGGTATAAATCCAAGAATGGATTGGAAATTGGGATTTTCTTCTGTTGTAAGATTTTGTTTTTGTTTACATAGAACTATCGTTTGGTTTTTACAGTGGTTTGCTACTGACTCTTTTTTGACTCTTTTATTCTTAAGTTCCATTTTTGTGTTTCCGAAAGGATGGCTCAGTCTTCACAAGAGGCCTACATTATGAGCAAAAATAAAATCAATAAATAAAGTCCCCCATCTTTCATGTACTGCATTATTTAAAAGCTGTCAGAAGTGGTTTTAAACCACTTAGCGGGGCTATTCCATCTCATTTTCTATTTGCTCTAATATGGTAAAGAAATGCTTGTGCATTATAGACATTGGCTTTGCAGTTTAATATTAGTCTAATATCGAGAGGCAGAAGAGTGCCATGATGCAACATAATGCTCTAATGTGTATGTGTCCTTTAACGTAGCTTTATGCTAACGTGACAGAATATTAGTTTGTTAAATTCTGGGGTTTCAGCATAACATTTTCATAGTGGATTGTCCTCTGTGTGTCGTACATTCCCCAAATCTGGAAACATAAATTCATGATAAATCCGCTGAGTAGAGCAACATTTCATTATATTATTTTTAAGAAAAAAAGATGATTATTGCAACTATACAAATATAAAACATGCTTCAGTTCTACTACATTGTTAAGGTTTTTTCTTCCACACCTTGTTACATTTGGTGATCTAGTGTGTTGAAAAGGTCATTTACCAATGTGGTCTAGATTTCTTTGGGGACTGGTGATAGAATATATACAAAGGATTAATGCTGGTTGTGACAAAGTAAACTGTCACAAGGAAAAAGGAAAAACTCAAGGTCTTTCAGGGGTCAAATGTACAAGGAAGGAAGATATAGAAAGTATTCATCTAAATCAGGTTTAGAACTATGCCGTGGTGCAGGTGGCATCACCCAATGATAGAGGGAAGAGGGGAGCCTGGGATAGTAGTGAGCTTTAGGAAAATATGCTGTCGGTGAGAGGATTCTGGAACCTATAAAAATCTCTTTTAAGACAGTACATAGAAGGAGAGGCAGCACCAGGGAAGGGTGTACTGCTACAGGAATGCTAGGGGAAACAACACCAGAGAATGGCATGCTAAAGGTAGCACCAGCTCAAAGTGAAACATCCATCCAAGATACTAATCTGATCCCCATCACCCTTGTATCTGAGCCCCTGACAGTCTGTGTGTACTTATCCTCTCAACACTTCTGTGGGGTAGGGAAGTCCTATTTATCTCCATTTTTAACAGGTGGGGAGCTGAGGTGCAGAGAGCTATGCGACTTGCCCAAAGTCACACAGCCTTGGTCTCCCAAGATCTAGGCTAGTCCCATAATCACTGGACCATTCTGCATCTTATTTTAGGTTGCTAAATGACAATTGCATGTCCTTTAAACAAAAGCCGAGCACCTATAGAACTTAATAGTTAAAATTAATCTTCTTGTAAATATCACGCTGCTCTCAAAAAAACCCATCAACATAGTAGGCCTGATTTTCAGTTATATTGATGGCAGTTGTGTGTATTCAGTGCCTTAAAGTGAGGCCAACTCTTCTTATCAAACGTTACTGATGAAAGAGGTAGTACTTACTGTGGGGTATGAGTTAAGACTGTAGTACTGAAATAAATATAAATATATATTTCAATATATACATATATGATGAGAATTCTTTTTTCATGTGGGCAAAATAAGTCAGATGTCCCCATGGAAGGACAAACACCAAAAATTATAAGTTTGCTTAATTGCATCCAGTTTTCTTCAAACATATTTTATGTCTGAGTTTTCAAGGAGGTTTAATTACACTGTATTTAGAGGAGTCGTAACAAGA